TAAGTTCATAATTAGAATTGTTTCTGTAGAAGTTAATTGTATTAAAAATGAATGTAGTGCAAGTACTAGTAAATCTTGTTTTGATCATTCAGAAAAGGATTAAAATCTGGGTAACCATATGGATAGCATTTCAATTAAAGGGGGTTATCGTATTGCCCAAGCAATAGTAGAATTTTGTTTTGCTTGCAACATTTCCTTTAGTATAATCTAATCCTAATATGATTAAGAACTTTTTTAAGTTCTGTATACAATAATATAATTGCAGAGACTAAATTTGAAATAGACTGAATAACAAAACTGTAAAAAAGTTCTTATATACATGTGTCAAGGTACACACAAATTCCAAAGTTGTGATTGATCAGTAAAAATTTTCATTAAAACAACAAGAACAAATTTTATTTCGTTTAATTAGCTATGGTTGAATGTTTTGAGTAAATGATCAGAATGACCTCCTTCGGCAGCAATACAGGATTTGTATCGTCGAATCATTGATTCATGGACTACACAAAAGCTATGACTGATTTGAAGATTTATTAACTTATCGAAGAACGAGGATTTTCAAAAAACGATTGAATTACATCCAAACATCTGTCGACATGTGTTTCTGATTTAGGCCTACTACTACATGAGCGATTTCTTAACATCATCAATATTGTAATTTTGTCTTTATTAATTAGCGTTGTATTAATTTAATTAGTGGTTATTAATTAGTGTTTTGGAATCGCCTTGAGGTGTTCTATTAAAAAAAATATATAAATATACGTTCTCATTGATTTTGATTAATTCTGCCTTAATGCTCATGAAGTGACTTGATTTTATTAATTACTAAAAAAGTTGTTAATTAAAAAGATTGTTTTAAAAAGAATTCTTTTTTTTAAATTTTATTTTACTATATAATTAATTTTAATTGTAAACTAATCCTACGACGAAAAAATAATACGTGTAGTCCAATGTCAATTTCGCAATTTCTAAACCTCGTCACCTTGATATAGGAATCCTAACTCTGTAACTGAAAATTACTTGGCACCGAGGTTGTAACGGTGTCCAACGAAAACAATACTTTGTGGGACGACGGCTTCGTAAGTTAACGCACGTGCTATATCAGGGCATTCCTACCGCTTAGCTTATAGATCTCGTTACGTAAACGAGAGACAAACTCGTTTTAGAACACAACAAAAAAATAGTAATGATTTTAACTAAACGATTTTTTTTCTGGATAAACGATTCCAAATTGTCGATCGATCGGGTTGATTGGAATCGAAACGATTTGAACCAATTTAGTGTTCGTTGCGCAATGCGAATGGAAAATTGTACTCTAGAGATTATCGAATTTACTTGGCGGTGGTCCTAATGGCGAAATGAAGACAAATTCCGGCTAATTATTCACCTGTTCGGTGCCACTTATATGAAATTATGGTCCTATTGGTTACCGTGAGAGGATATTTTAATTAATCGGTACTTTCTATAAATATTTTGAATTGGCAACGTTAACGTTGCCGTAAATTTTAGTGATTTACTTTAGGGACACTTAGATATTTTTAGATTTTTTTAAATACATTTCCGATGTTTAACAGTCTCCATCTAGTGAAACAAATTAAAACAGAGTGTTTTAATAAGCAGAAATCTAGGAATATGTATATTTTTTTTAACACAAGGAAAATCTTTCGCAACATGTCTTTTTTGGCATCAGTTTCATCAATTCACCTTGTAAAGTACATTTTCAGATGATTACGTTTTTTATTTACTAGTTATTTGAGTCAGTTTACATCTATTCGTATTCGTTTTGGTATGGGGGCTTGATTTAGATTTAGATCTTTGCTGTGTAAAGTTCTACTATGATAATTTTAAACACTTATTCACACTTGTATTGAGTTTCATTTTCTATTATTTAATTAACCATTAAAAGAAGTTTATAATTTATTGAATTATTAAACATTGAATAGAATTAAGATTTATTAGAATAAGAATAATTTCATCATTTAAACAAATAAAATGGTTCAATGAATAGAAACTTAAAGAATCAAATTAATTTCTTTTGAAATTAAATTTAGCATTTGAATTGAAACAGATTTTCTTCCTTTCTTCAGATCTTGGTAATGATGTTAATTAGAATTGTCAATAATCTTTTAAATTCAAGTACATTAACTTCAAAATTTTATATTTCAGAATTTTAGTTTTTGAAAGAGTCCTAAATAGTTATATGGAATGATGTAATGATATTAAATATTATTAATAGGATTGAAAGAGAGTTATGAGGATGTTTAATCCGTTTAATGGATGTTAATGTTGATTATACAGCAACTTCAAGACGTACTGTAATCCTCTTTAGACATTGCATGGGCTTATCGATGCGTATTTTATGACAAACTTTCTCAGGGTTTGTACATATGTGCAGCAAGATTCTAGATCACATACCCCTGTGATTTGGAGAACTAGCTATCCAATCCTCTATTTTGTAGGTAAACGATGCTATGTTGCAGAAACATATATGCGATAGATGGCTCCAGGTTACCTTTTCTATCAGAATCAATGCGCAACCTGGTGGTTTATGACTCATCTGTAAGCACATCCCTTACAGCTCGACTTGAGTATAACGGGATATCCCAAAATATGATCCAGATCATGTCAAAACAGTCTCAAACAGCCAAAGTACTCTGTCGCCGGGGAAATGGAAGAAGTGACATTCGAAGACACACTTGAGAAAAGACGTAACCCTTCGGCTACATGAACGAAAAATGTTTCTGGTTGTAGTTGAATTCTGGGGGTTATATGGTAAATCGCTGGAAGCTGGTGCTAAGAGGGGGAGTTAACCGCACCAGAGGAAGTTAAGAGCTATTCGTAAGTACCTCGGTGGTTGTGATGACGCCGGGAAATCTAGGTTAGTATTTGTGATTATATAAGTATAAGCATTGATTGGCATGAATGGGATACAAAATAGCGGTTTTGACAAGTTAACTTATGACTTATTTCTAGACGTACAAAACACTTCTGGATTTCCATTGAATATGTGTGGCAATAAACTTTGTACAGTGAAGGATGAGATATTCTTGAAGAAGGTCTTGCTGGGCAGTGTAGCTACTGGAAATCGTTTGTAATATCCAGAAAACCACCATTTTATAATAGCACGCTACTTCTAACATACGATTAAAGGATAACATTAAAGGTGTTTCTAAGTCGTCTTTTAATAAGGAAATAGATTCCAATCTCAAATAATGTATGAAACACTACTTACTCCATCCAAAGAATATTTGGTGAAGTTTAGCCCAAAAACTAAAGAAGAATTTCTTACAATCAAGTCATGGTGAACAAGCAACAATAATTAATTAATGTTTTCTGAAGATCTTTTAGGTATTTTAGAATTCCAAACGTATAGCAAAAGATAACTTGTTACTCTAGTTAGGGTGCTAGAAAATAAAGATATTTTTCTTCTATTTAGATGATGAAAATGTTTATTTATTTATGTTTTCGGTGCTTGTAGTGCTATACGAATTTATCGTATTTCGAATAAAAATTATTCGTCCTCAGGCACGACGTCAATTTCTTTAGGTATTAAAAAAGATGTTAAACATTCTCGATAAATTTGAGGTGTAGGAAAACTTTTAATACGACCAAAAATTAATATTCTTTGTTGTAGGGTAAAGATCTTAAACTTTTGAAACCAAATGTAGAACTGCGGTCTTTGTAGTTGAAACAGGGTTAGAAAAGGTTCAAATACATGATGAACACCGAGAAAACCATAGCATATTTGTTACTCTAGATTTTAACGAATATTGATATAATTTATGTAAAATGGAAATAAAACCACTCAACAAATTCATCCAATTTTCATATTTTTACTTTTTTCTTGATATTGACGCGTCTAAAAGAGAGCCATATTACTAAGAATAAAATTTGCATTAATTATTGTTCCAAAAGTTTTTTTATAGGTCCATTTCCCAAGTGTTGTTAATGGTAACAACTTTAAGAAGCAACAATTCATCCAATTTTCAAATCTTTCCTCGATATCTATGCATTAGAAACTAAAAGTGCAAGAGAGCTATATTGTTAGGACTAAAATTTGCTAACTTGTAAAACACAAGAAATTCATCAGATTTTCATATTTTCGTATTTTTCTCAATATGGATGCATCTGACAATGAGAGTAAAAGTGAAAGAGAGCAGTATTGCTAAGAATTATTATATATCGGATTAAAAAAAAACACCAAATATAGAAATACTGAGTGAAGTGCAAAACCAAACGTTCGTCCAGTTCGTCAGAGCATTATTTGTTATAACAGGTATATCACTGAGTGTAACTTGAGTACGGAGGACCCTGTCGAATATAGTATATTGTACAGCCGTAGTTTTATATCTATATTCCAAAACACTCACTGCTCAACCATTAAAATCACCGACTGGATTGGCCATTTGACTTGTGTTTGTTTAAATTTCTTCATCATGACATTAAGAGCATTGGACAAAAATTACATTGCATAAACACCCAGATATCTATTGACAAAAAATTTAAAATTTTGTTGTTATTACTTTAGTATACTTTTAAACAAGCAAAGCTGTAGGTATCAAAACAATTTCAAACTCAGCAGAAGCAAAAACTAACATCAAAACAGAAAACAATTTTTATAAAATTATGAACTTAATCTTACCGTATTCACTTTTGCAACTGACACTTGATGTGTTCACCAATAAGAAATAAATTGTTAGGCTTAGTTCTCCTAATTTAGAACTAAAGGCATTAATCAAAACATAAACTGTGAAGTTAAAAAGTAACCCACATTGTTTTCAATTCAAAGCATTACAATCGAAGCTAAAAACATTTCCACAAAATTTAATTTAAGTAATAACTTTAAATTTTAACGAAGCTTTAAAGTCTCCAAACTAAACAAACTAAACTAAAGTAAACACATGTTTACTTTTTTTGAAATTTTGCCAAGTTAAATTTTCAAAGAAAAAACCATACACGTGTTACCATAAAAAAAACATTTTCAACTCAAAAAACATCCATCACACTAAAATACTTTATTGTCTTAAACATATTTTTTATACATTTATATACAATTAGGAAGCGAAAAATAGGAAAATCTATTAGCATACTAGAGGAGTATGTATCATACAAGTAGATAATTTTATAAGATAGGTAAAATGGTAATAGAAAAGGTAATATGCATTAATAATAAACAAACTCAACGACGAAAAAAGAAAACTCGAATTTTTGATTTTCAAATTAATAAATTAATTCATTTTAAATATTTTTAATTTACATTTCAATAGTTCGTTTTTCTTTACGAGCTGAAATCCTTACTGATTGAACGGCAGAAGCGTTTTCTTCACTATCAGTTTGAGCTTCAGCTAAAATCGCTTTTAAGCGTGCAGCTCTTCTCTCCCTTGCTGCTTGCTTATCAGCCAAAGCATTCATTTCTTCTTCGATTTCATTTAATCTTGCTTTAGTAGCACTAGCCCTCTGCTTCGCTGCCATTTCCTCTTCAAAAACCCCTCTATCAGATTTAATAGGCGTCCACTTCGTCAATTCCTTACTATCAACACCATCATCTTCAGTTTTAGTAAATCTTAAAGATCTACGTTTAACCACGTATTCATCCTCTTTTTTCTGGGGTTGTACCTCAACGATTCCAACGGTGTCCAATAGTTTATCAGCACGATCTTTTATACGACGATTCAATAAGCTTCCAGCAGTACTTTCCATATCAATATCATCAATTACGGCTACTTTCTTGCTCGCTCTAATGCGTTGTACCGCTGAGGATATCTACAAACCGAAAACAAACTGGATGTGGTTTTTAAGTTGTTTCTTTTAACAAAAATTAAAAAATACATGCCGTTTTAAATCAACATATTTTTTTGTGAGAGGGTTTTCTTGATTAATTTTCAGACATTTTAGAATATATAAAAAAAGTTGAGATCAAGATTTAGAAATAAATGTGATGCGGTAATGATTTAAATATTTTATGCCAAGTTTAATAAAGTTTAATGTGAACAAGTTGAAGGTGATTTGTTATAACTACTAGTTGGCATTTGATGAATAGGAGTATTTAAAGTTAAAGAAAAATGTTGTGAGATCTGGGTGTAAAGAAATTTTTGGTGGGTAACTTAAACTATTTTTGGAATTGAGTATACAGGGTGATTCAAATAAGTAGTTAACTAATCAAATAAGTTATTTTTAGACGATTATTAATTATGTTAGAACATTTTTTATAAATTTGAAGAGATTGTTGATGTTTTTCGACTATTTTCAGCGTTTTAATGGAATAAAAAATTCTAACATTATTGCTTAAGGAGTTAGAATTAAATTACAGTAGTTTTCTAGCATTGAAGAAAACATTGAAGAAAAGAAAGCAATAAAATAAAATAGCTTAACCCTACTAATAAATTTTAGAACGGTTACTTTGTGTCGTAAAACTTCGTTTACTTTTAAATCACTCATGTCCTTGTGTTTCAGTACGTTCCTCTATCGTATTTAGATAAGCTGTAGTAAGTAGTGTTTACAGATTTTATTGCTTTGCCGATTAATTTAAACTCTCGTCGTAAGTGTTACGAAAGCTCGGTGTATATAATAAAGAGAAAAATTGGCAACGCAAGAAAATGTTATGTATTATTTTTTAAGAATGCACCAATGTTCTCCTTGAAACGTTAATATCTTCTACAGCAAAGAACCATTTATCCATAAAACACATAATTGATGTTGTCAATTTTGGGTTCATTTTATAAAACGGTCATGAGAGTTGAACATTTTTCATTTTTGATTAACTATTTGATTTAACAAAAGGGAAGTAAGCAAAAAAGAAAATTGTTGGACATATTTTAGTGATATGAAACATTTTTCTTGATACGCCTACAATATAAACATATATTATTTATTTTATAAATTGTTTAAAATCAAACCAAAAGTCATTAAATACATATCAATAGCAATTAAATATCCATATGGTACCTATCACAATGGATTAGAAGGAGCTAGAGTATCTTTACTCAAGTGCATCAAGTGCTCCAATACACTCGCCAAAATATAAATAATATCCTGAATATTTCTGGCAACGATGAAGGACCTGAATCGTTGTAAATTCAAACTTGCTGTTGAAAGGATTAAATCCTCTCCGAGAGTTAACGAGGAAAATGACATCTGCGAAGTTGGAAAATCTAAAATAAACAAGAATTGCGTTGGACATAACGTAATTCTATTATTAATTTATCTTCTGGACAAAGTATATTTTGAATAACGTTTAGTTATTTGATCCAGCTAAAAAGCGAATACTTTTAAACTATAATATTCCTTTTCTTTCTTTAGCTGCAGCTTGTACTAACATATTTATAGTATTTTGAGTTCCTTTTAAGTAACAAATAATAAATTGTTAATGCTAAGGATTTCAAAGAAATTTGTAGATAACATATGCTGAAAAGCGTATTAACTAAGTTATACTTATAACTTAATACGGGCATAACAATATAGCAGTTAAAGAGAATGAAAACTCTCTGAACATGAGTTATGATTTAGTACGCAACATGCTTTAAATTAATAGCACTTAATAACGTTTAAAGTTTTAGTAGTTACCACATAAAATTGTCTAGATTTGATTACGATCTTTTGGAGATCCGTTGCTAACCCAAATTGCTTCCAAAGTTTGTACTAACTGCCTTACTATTCTTTAGTCTATGACATCAACGTATATTTAAGCTTTATACAGCTAGGTCACATACTTTAAAGAGTTTGAAATTGATTTCATTGAAAGCCAAAGTAAGTTAAAGTTTTTAAAGCAGTGAGTTGAATATGCTATTAGCAAAAATGCCACAAAATATCGAGCAATAACCTGAGAGAGATAACTTGTTGTTTTACTATAATAAATCTTAATGAATTAGCACCGACAAGCAAACATTTAGAAATATAATCGAATTTAAGATAACCTGCAAGAAGCAAGAGAAATAAATATAGATTGCCAGAGACTTTGCCATCACCGTTATTATCTTAATAGCCGATAATCTAGGTGAGGCAGAAGCTGTTCTCCAGGAAATGAACTTTACAAAAACGAATATTGAGACAAATCTGGGCATGAGTGAAATATTGGCCAATATCAAATTGGTCAACAAATACGCCAAAGGTAATCAGACTTGCGAGATACACAAAAGGATCAATCTTGGGTAGACAGCTAATGAGAAGCTGAAACATATCTTCAAAAGCGTCCGAACGATGGCATCCGCAAAAAGATTGAGAGTCATCCAATATGAAATGGAGAGGTCAATACTGAGATTAAGTTTAAAACCTCATGTTACAAGCCAGGATCTATTATTACAGAGTAAATGTTGAAGATGACAAGTCCTTTAATGGAGAAAGTGACGATGATATCTAGTGATGAAGTATGTATAATAGTACGTATGATTGAAATGATGACGATGATTGAAATGACGACGACAAAGATAAGTGAAATGAAAATGATGAGAATGTGGATAAAAAAGATGATTCAAAATATAATCCTCCTAACAGTGAAGATTATTTCATTATGAAGAAAAAACTACCAAATGGTTCAAAGGACGTTCCCTGCTACCTTTACGTAAACGTGGTTTTGTGGAATTTAGACGTCTTTGGATAAGTAAAAGCATATATTCAAAAATAAAAAAGTTAAATAATAGGAAAATAAATATAGGATTTGATTTCTGTTCAGCGAAGGGGGCGTTAATTTGAACTTTAGAAATGACGTAACTGAGATGTTCTTTGTACATTGGGCATGTTCGAGGAAGAACAATTATGCATTCTATATTCATGATTCAAACAAATTCTGCATAAGATGTGTTTTCTAGCAATAGTTAATCTCACAGGTGGAGATTTTGTTGAACGACGACCATTTACAGATCAAAACGTAATAGATATTTATAATTGTGACATTGTAGATGAGGGATCAAACTCCCTCATCTAATTATTTATAATTGTGACAGTACACGACGTTATAGAAAGAACCAGCTGATTCAACGGATAAATAAGAAGAATCCTTATATTTAGTGTACATAGAGCCGAAAAGTCGATGGTGAAATTTAGAAAGAAATCTGGTGAAACATTTACGTGGTCCAAAAGCTGCAGCTAAAGAGGTCATTGATGGCGCTATCATAACAGAGATAATAGATTTAAAACAAAAATGCGTGCTTAAAATTTCTAAAAGATACTTAGCAAACTTACTTTTTAACTTATACTATTTTACTGCATAGATTTTACTTCGCAACTGCTTATTTACACTTTGATAATAAGAATAAAGTTACCGTTTAACAAGGTATGGACAAGGTTTTTGGATCAACCTAAGATGTATTATATTTCTTTTAAATATTGCATTGACGAAGACCTGTTGAGATTACGTGGCTGTGTGAATTTAGAGTTTATGTAAAATCCAAACCAGATAGGTTCTGGTTAAATATTGTAATGATTAATGACTCTAAGATAAGCTACATTCAAACAAGAAAGACCCTGGTCCTATTCACTATGTTAGAAACCTATCTCAGCTACACCTATCTTAATCAATTTTAATGATAAACTAACAATGATGGACCATGGGAGTTTAACAAATTGCGACTAATACCTAAGTTCTTATCAGAAAAATCAAAAACATAATCATTATTTGCATTGGGTTGCATTTGCAACAATTGAAGTTTTGAACGAGTGAGTTTCAATGATTTTATGCAGTTATAATATGAAAAGTTCTAAAGTGGGATAATGACAATATTTAGAAACATTATCAAAAAACTTGATTCCTTGTTGCATGAGTAATTGTAAGTAGCAATACTTTGAAGAGAGATAACAATTTACTTCCAGAAACCTTATCATTCGATCATGATGTAGTGAGGATGTTTATTTAGACATTTTAGACCATGGCTATAATTAGTTATGATGCTAAAAATCTAGTTGTGAGATAACGTTAGGATAATTTTTTATAGTTAGGATATATTTAATTGCAATTACCACAATTTTTGTTGTTTGGTTTTATGAAGTAATCTAAGATCATTAGAAAAAATTGAAAATTAATTTTATCCAAGCAGATACTTCATGGAAGGTTAAATAAAATCTAAATTGAAACTTCTAACCTCGGGTTGGTAAATAAAATTTTATGATGACTTCAGAGGACCAATTTATAATCAGCAATAAATAATAATTATATTTGAAAAAATGCTGTTAGATGTTATATGTTTATATCAGACGTAGAACGAGCTATTAATAGATTTATCCAAACTAATTACTGTGGACTTCCTGGATTAAGGTCAAAACCGCTTTAATTCATTCTCCACCTCTGTGAGAAGTTGTTTGACAGAAAATATTCATCATTTTTAAATTAAAAACTAACAAGACTTGAATGTGGAAAAGTTATTATTTTTCAGCAGAATTTTTATGAACCCGGATCCCTCTGTGGTAATGGATAGCAGACATTTTTTCCACAAGAATTTCTTCTGATTATCTAATTAGCATATGGTTAACCAAATATATCTTATTCATTTATTTTAAGAGGGAAATATGTCTGCGAGTGCAAAAACATAATTAATAGTTAAACATTTTTTGTCAACAAGAACAATAATGCAATATAATTATTGCTAAGTAAACTTAAAAAAAATGCCATTAACTTTAAGTAAAAACTTTGAATGTGTAGCAATAAATGTCTATCAAATATTGTTATGGAATTTTATTGTTGATAATCCAACACGCTTTTCAACACCATGTGTAATTGTAAAGTAGCCGAAGACCTAATGTTATAGAATTTCTCTAAGTGCTTTAATAAATGCCAAAAAACAAGGTTGTGAGTTACCACTTAAATAATTTTTGAACGAAGCGATATGTTTAGTTTCAATAACAAACATTTTGGATGCTAGAACTTTTCCTGGATTTGAGTAAGATGTAACAGATGTTAAGTTACTTGTTTTGACAATAAGACGTTTGTTTTTAGTATCAACCAATATATCTGTTATATTTGGCACGAAACTCTACTACTTTAATGGGGCATGAAACATCTGCGATAGTAAAAATGAATGTAAAATTCCGATGAATATTTAAATCTATCTAGAATATCCCGTTTGCTGATAAAATTAGTTAAAAACAGACATCTCTTTCTCTATCAAGAAAAACATCAGTACAGACTTACTCGTGAATTACTCGGTTAACTTTTTGAGCTATTTGGAGATTTGCGATAAAAAATAACAATAAGTCTCAAACATCGTCATCAATAAGATCAATAAATATAGTCAACAATCTCTTTTTATCATAACGAAGAATAAACTTTGAAAATTTCAATTGTTATAATCGTCTAAAAAGATATCAAAAATCTCTTAGATTTCTCTTTGGCACACTACTTTTGCAACACGCTGTATTATGCCAGATTTAAGACTTATTTTTAAATTAATATTTAATTCTATGACTAACCAAAAAAATCTTTTTGTTGAGTTATGTTAAGTGAACAATACATTTGTGAGTGCAAAAACACCATCTATCAAAAACATTTTGGCAAAAAGAACAATGAATCATTTGTTGTAAATCCGACAATAACTAAAGTCAAAAAAAACTATGTTTAGTATTCAACAAAACTTTCCTGTTTGTAAAATTAGATTTTTTTCCGAAAACATATCAAGACACAAAACCCTTAATAATTTTTTATATAGTATTATTAGTATTATAAAAAATAAAAAAACGTAACAAAAAATACATAAAAATAAAAAAAAAACAAAACCATAAAATGTACGTTTGTTTTAGGTTTTGCATTATTTAGTTTTGTATACTTTTAAGTCTCATTTAAATTTATTTAGTTTTTTATATTTCATTTTTGTATTTAGTAGATTTTTTTTTCGAATATTTCTTTCGTGCAAATTTTAATTTTTTTATGTGTATAAATTGTTTTTTAGAACCATTTTCTGACCTCTTCATCGAAAGCATCTTCGGCAGCAAGAGCAGCGGCTGAAATACGACCTCCTCTTGAATCGAACAGAGTTGGTTCGGTGATGGTTTTTTCAGCGCGACGTCTAAAGCTTGGCAAATCTTCATCCATAAAAGCCTTTTCATGTCTATCGAGAATATCTTGAGGAACTGCTGTAAGCCTTGGTGGTGGAGTTATCGGTCTGTAGTACTTCCGGTCAAGTCTGTCAATTGTTGGCTTGTAATAGTTTTCGCCAATATTATAATTAGCATCGTAGATGCGTGTGCGTGGCCTACTCAGGATCGGACGGCTCGACATTTTAGTCTAAAAATAAATTGGGAAAGAAACTTGTTAAAACGATGGTTACAAAATTTTAAGAGGATCTGAAAATTGAGTCGTGTGAATAGATTTAGGCTCGAGAAGAAAAATCGGTTCGAATTACTATAAATTTAGAGGGAAATTTATTTTTAGTATGGGGTGACCTTCGATTTCTCAAAATAATACCATTTTACACCTACATTTTCGTTAACTGGACGCGCAAACGAGGCGCGGTTTAAAGATAGACACGATGTTGCTTGGACTAATAACTATTCTTAGCAAACAGCGTGGTCATATCCCCGGCTAACCTCAGGGATATTATAATCTTAAAACAACCAATCATTAACACTTCGATTAATCACCAAAATTACGAAACATCTAATTTTATTTTGATCAGAAAAGAAAATTCGAACTCGCTAAAAAGGATTCAAATTCAACCCAAATCTATTTAATTTTAACGGACAAACTTTTAAAAATTAATTAAAATCTTTTTTTTAATCTCTTGCATAACCTACATTTTAAAATAATTTTAAGATAAAAATGATTTGGAAAGGATCTGTGGTACTTGAAAACAGAATGAGATCGAAAAACAAATCGATTACTTTACCCAAAGTGTGAGATTTGACGTCGAATTTTTTTGAAGAGGGGTTTGTAAGTGTAAATTCCAAACACCACACGCACAATGAAAGACGCCGGGCGTCGGTATGGAAAGGACGTCGTCTTTGAAATATCTCCCACCACCCGGTGCATTACTCCCACTCAAAAATATATTTTTATAAGATAGTTAATAATACTTTATTTATACGAATAGTATTCATCTATAACACTTCCTTCTTTTTCAAAGATTCGCCAAAACATGAATACAAAATTATTAATTCAAAAAATACTTTTCAATAGTCTTTCTTTGTTTCGTACAAAGTAATGTTCGAGCAATGTTTACAAAATATGAAGAAACTTTTTGTCTAAAAATAAAATGGAAAAGAAACTTGTTACATTGACAATTACAATGTTCGAAGAGGATTGCTGTAAAACTGGCATAAGCCCTGTTATGCAATAATTAACATAATAACTTAGTTAATATTTTTATCTCAGTACAAAACTAAAACAACTATATTCGCAAAATGTCCAGTTTCATAAATCAAGGGACTGTTCGTAAACTTGTGTGCAATATTTTCATCGAGTGTTTCAAAAACTTAGTAGCAACTTTAAAAAGTCAGCGACGAATTTTCACTAAACTGTGAAGTGTTATCGTGATTACTTTTTCTTCTCTGTAGCCCATCAAGATAAGAATTGGGCACCTGTTATATGCTGTACTACATAAGTAAAGGATCTTACAGGTAGGGATAAAAGAAACGCGATATATGGCTTTCGGACAAAGCCTGTAGACGACGTATCTGATTGCTACTTTTGCCTGACTAACATAAATGGAATAAATATGGCGTCAAAGCATACTGTGAAATATGTATGTAAGTGTACATTTTGCACCACGCCCACTCCTTCATAGTGCTGATTTTCCTATACCTGCAGTGCTAAATCAGACAAGTGACGCTGCAAATGATTCCATCGATTTACCTTTATGTAGTGTAATTGCATTGATATTAAATTTGAACCACAAAATTGACGTTTGCTTATAAATACGTCAAAAACTAGATTAAAAGCTATACTATTGCATACTGGAAGTAGATTTCCCGCTGTTTCAGCAGCATATGCTTCCGGTATGAAAGAAACTTAAATGAAAATGGTGCTAGAAAGAATCTATTATAAGTAAGCCATTTTTATTTAAACTATGTGACTTAAAAATCATTGCTTTACTTCTAGGATTCCAGCTGGGTTTTAAAGTATTGTTTGTGATTGGGATAGCAGATAAAAAAACTTTTTTACATCTCTTCTTATCCACCAGAAGCTGTTAAAGATGTCTGACATATCTCTGCATGGAGCATTTCCTGTATCAAAACATCTCAAGCATCATAGTGATCAGAACATCTTTCTTTGTGGTTTACCTGTAGCCTAAAAATACATCCTGCTTCATAGGTATGGTTGAAAATATCTGCAATCTCTCTACATGAAACATCTCATGTGCCAAAACATCTTCTTGTAGTTTTACTTAAAAACACCTTCAAATTATATCTATATATCATATCTGGATTGAGAATCTTTGCCAACTCTGTACATGGGGTATTTTTGATATCGAACCATTTCAAGCTTTATGTACTGATTGAAAACTTTTGATTCTTGGGAAAATGTTTAGTATCAATGTCTCTCTAGCATCATAACTATACCAACGTAACTCTAATATTTATTTTTGTCTATAGACGTTTAACGTTTACAATTTGTGGCAGCAGTATGAAGGGAAATTATATCTAATGTAATCAAATCTTAGTAACTCTCAATCTCCAATATACAATACATTTCAATCCTAACACTTCAAATGTCATTAATTACAATTTTATTTTTCATACATAACAGTTATTGATGATTTTCAATATTTTAGAGTGCACGAATGGAAGCTCAATCCAGAACGCATCAACTCCTAATGCATAATCGAGAACTTCTGGATCATATAGCGTTGGTGGCTCATTTACAAGGAGGTGAAAAAGTGCCAGGCCAACAATCGAACTCTCCACAGGTCGCTATGCCACATTTTATACATAGAAGTAGGTTTGAGAAAAAAAATTTGTCAAAGCCATGGATCGCAACCGTTCAGACTTTATGTACTTAAAAGAAAAGTTTCCTAAAGTTAGTGACGCAAAAATAAAGGAAGAATAAAGGAAGATTTGTGTTAAATTTAGTAAATAATTTAATTAAATAATAATTATTATTTATTGTGTAAATGTTGTGTCATCAAAATCGCCTTGGCCGCAAGCGACTTTGGCTTAACTTTTTATGTCTTCATAAGGCATAAATATCCTGCTGCGTATTAGCGAGTTGTGAAAAAGCATGATCTCGCTTTATTACGTCAAAGCAATTTGCGGCCGATGCGTTGTCTAATATTGTATCTAACCATCCCAGAGTTAACCAATCTAACACGTACAGTGAGGTTAATCTTCAATAAACCTAACTAATAACGAGGCTGTTTGATTTGTATATGATGAAGAGCTGTGGATTAAAAAAAACATTATGTCGAAGAAAGAATGAGGATTGTAGGGGTTTTTGGGGAATATTTCCTCAACCCAGCTACCATCTATTCCCAGCCTCTTGGCAGTCTCCCTCTCCTCCGTCGTGTTTCTATTCTAAAGCTGTTTTTGTTCTATGTAGTTTAACTGGTACAATATTTAATTTTTGCCTGATCTTACTGTTCTTTATTTTATCGATTCTGGTTACTCCTAGAACTCGCCTTCATCTCTGTAGCTGGAGTCACATCCAAAAATCAATACATGTCTAAATATCATTTTGAAAACTTTTAATTTTGTTTCTTTGGATACCTCCTTCCTATTGATAAAGTTCTTAAATCGTTATGATTATTATTTCATTTTTTGTTCATTTCTTTATTCTATTATTCTATACCCATAGGTTGTGTTTTGGATCCACCCGTTGCTCGTCAACACCACTACGTCATACGAAAATATTGGGCAAAAAGAAATCCATATTCCGTTATTATATGAATATATACGCAATAGTGTTACTCACATTGTCCCACACACACCTTTTGCAGGTTGCAATTTCATACTGTTGATATTGTTTCTTCTCTGCTTTGTTAATTACCTCGGTAAGCATTCCTATGCCAGCTTCACTCAGTTTTTTTACGTCTTTGTGATTATTGTGTCATATTCAGGCATCTTAAGTTAAGCATTCCTTAACCTTGGAATGCTACACTACGGGGGTACACCTGTAGTGTATACGTGTACATCTCGTATGTTTTATTGCTGTTATCGTTATGTTTTATATGTTCCCACTTGTATTATGGAAAAAATTGCAAATATAAATGTCACTGTTTTATGGCAGTTAACAACCAATTGAAATAAAGGATTATTCAATTAAATTAACAAGTTTGGATAGAAACAATCTCAAGAATTATATTTTTGGCAGGCTGTTTGATGATAAATCAAGGTTGTGATCACGTAAGATATTTTAGAATTGATTTCTATACACGTTACTTCCATGTTAACTTTACTTTAATAAATCTGATCATCCAAAGTCTTGTAACAATTTCTCCAAAGAACTCCGTTGCTCAAGCAAAGATAAGGCAGCACTCGGGACACAACACGAGACAAACTTTTTTTGCCAAAATGCAGCTAATGCGTATTTTGAAGACAAAGGTTAAGACAGAACTTGCGAAATCAACTGGAGACATTGAGGTAATATTTTTTGACTACAAGCAAAACATGTTGCTACCGAAAGAGACCTCAGCAGATGCTTTTCTTTTTAGAAACAAGAACTATAAAATATCGTTAAGTAAGTTTTTATTGTTACCTATACACTGAAATAATGGGTAAAAATATATCAATAACATTAACGAGTTCTGAAACAAAAAACTATTTATGTTTTCAGAAAACTGTGTATTTCAAAACAAAAATCACACAATGACGTAATAATTGGTTGTTTTTGTTAAAGCTGGACTGTTTTAAGATGGTTTCCCAGAACGTCAACATAATTTTACGCCCTGCAATCGTTCTTGTGATATTGGAAGAAATATGAGAAAAGAAAACTGCATTTTCTCCCTCTGAAATAAAAGTTTTGCCGTCACTGCAATGCAACAGTTCTTATTGAGAATAGTAAAAAGAGAAACCATATGCTCCCACCCAATTGCTATTCTCTCCTCCAAGTTGATAGACCCTGGAAACCTGAACAACCTTGTGGAAACCAATCCCAATGAGAAACAAGGTCAGGACTAACGAGAGCTGGAGGAATAGCCCTGCGAAAGAGGGGTTGGGTGGTGGATCACCTACACGTAACCATAAATATAATACCAGGTACGATACTCAAACAATTGCCTCGGAACGAGGTGAGTAGAACTACGCTTTGGACATAGTGGAGCAAAAACAATAATGGAGAACACAAACGTAGAGAAAGAGACTTGTGGGAAAGCCACGGAAACGCTGGGAAACAAAGTAAATGATAACGTTCCGGATCTTTTGGACCTGTGGTGTTGGTGATGAATAATATCGAATAGTGGAGGCAAGGTTAATATGTTCACTACTCCATTCAGAGTCACCATATTTTTAGCCAAGTGCGCGCGACTGATTCTTAATTACCAACCGCGGTGTGAATGGCCCAAATTAAGGTTGACGTATTGATTAGAAGGGTTGAAAATGAGGTGAGAATAATATATTGTCTAAAATTGGTTAAAAATTGCTTTATAATTAGTCAATATCATGTTGTAGGAATCGAAAAAATCACCCTACGAATTAATAAAAAAAACTGTAAGAATGAATATAAATTTATATAATTAATAATGCTTTATACAAATAAAAAAATTTAAACTTAGTAATTTTAACAACTGGTAAAATGGATTTTAATTATAACTATCTTAGTAATTTAATTTCCATGTAAATATTAGTAAAAAAAATATTTATTAAATAAATTATGGTAACGTTGGTGTTCCAGAAAATTCAATCCATTCCTTTGTATAACTTTCATTAATTGGATTTGTCTCGTACCACTTTTTAATAGAACGTAAATTGAGGACATTTCTTTGTACCATATTTAAGTTTGGATTGTTTCCAGAAATATCCATTTTAAAAGCCCAAGATAAATATGTTACAACACCGGCCCAATAAAAATCAACCCAAGTTAACTAAAATAATTAAAAAAATTATTTTTTTTACACTAATTGATAGAACAGGCATATTTATTTTACTTACTCTTTTAATCGCTAAATGTCCCCCATTTTCATTGGCTATTTTTTCAAATCTCTCCAAATAATACGGAACCGTTTCGTTATAAAACGTTTCTTTTAATCTTTTTTGAGATGCGGCACTTTTCTCAAAATGAACACAAACAAATTCTTAAACAAAATAGTTATTAATTAAAACATTTCGTTTGAATATTTAAGATAGTTACTATGTTGTAAATCTTTAATAGTGTCACCAATAGAATCAATTTCTAAATTTTCCCAATCATCATTTCCAACTAATCCGCATTTTTTTCCCAAATAACGCATTATAGCGACACTTTGATTGACTATTTTTCCATTTTCTTCATAAACAGGTACTTGACCAAATGGAAACACTATTTTTAATCAAAAAAATAATAATAAGTTATCAATCATTAATTCTAAAATATGTAAAAACATAAAGTGTAAGATATTTTCGAATCTCTAGCTAGGTTTAAGACTTGATCATTTATTTGAACTTTATCCTTTTTTTATCTATCACTAAATCTATTTTCCGATTTTATAAACTTTTTTCAAGATAATTAACGTTTAAATTACGATAATTGAGTATTGTTTTTTGGTTGATTAGTACAACACTTTAACGTTTTTATGTGAATTAACAACAGCGTATTGATTGCTGCCGAACATATTAGGTGAGATGTAAACTGCTCTACATTATCGAAGTGTAGAGTACTATTAATTTCCAATAAAATATTATATCGCAAGTACCACTTGGGATGTAATGACGAAGTAAACAGGATTTTAAAGTAAATTTAATACACATTCAAAGTGCCATAAATAATTTCTTAATTTCCACAAACATAGTTATTTTTAAAACCCATAACCAGTCATATTTGATTATTGTAGATTTAAAGAATTGAAGTTTAAAATGTCGTATCTCAAGAACGAATTGAGCCATAATAATGAAATAAGCAACATTTTAAAGCAAATTTAATGAAGATTTAATGTGCCATAAATAATTTCTTATTTTCCATAATTATCGTTGTTATGATGTTTTAAATCCAAGTCTGCATATGTGATTGTTATACATATGAAAATTGTATCTTTAGAGTGCATTGAGATATCATCATGCTATGAAGAATATTTTAAAGCAAATTTGATGATGATTTAATGTGCTATAAATAATTGCTTATGTTCCATAAACATCGTTGTTATGATGTTTTAAAACCAGTTCTACACGTTTGATTGTTACAGATATGAAATATAAATTTTACAAAATCGTATTTCAAGTATGAATTGACATGTCATTATAAAATAGAAAGCAATTTAAAGTAAATTTGGGTATTCAATGTTATGAACATTATTAAAAATTAGAAATCAGCCTAGATAGATTTGCCAAGCTCAAATACATTAGCGTTCGGCCGACGTGATAATCTAGCCTCATAAAAATAAATCTATATGGAGAGGTTTTTAGAATCCCAATCTTTAACATACCGTTAATCTGGCATTTTTTTTCTTAATAGAGTTCGATAAAAAGATTTTTATCAACTTATCGACTTTGATGAATCATGCCAAACTAACAAGAATCTAGATATACTACCTAGATATTAGATTTAGAAAATATTCAAGGTATCTACCAACATGGGGATAATGTCACTAGGTGTAGAAATTGCGTTACTAGAGTATGGATTCTAACTAGCGAGAATGTAATTATTTTTGTGGCTCACAGAACTCTCGTCAATTCACCTACTTTACATCACATAGTTGCATGTTATTTTATAATTCAAAATTTCTTTCAAAATCATTCAAGATTTGCAAATATGGCAGTGTAATTAGAAATGAATACCTTTACAGGTTTTTTATTACCTCTATGTTAATCTAAAACATAATTTATTATTTAAAAAAAAATAACTTACGTTGTTTATATTCTGCCCATTTATACATTGAAATTGTAACATTTTCAAACTCGTCACCTATATAAGCCAATAAAAGTCTTATTGGTTCGCCCAAAGCTGGCACGTCAAAATAAGTAAGTTTACAATTGGACATATTTGTACGTTGTGTTAGTAATTCATCGCAAACTCACATATTTATACTTTTTAAGAAAGGTGTGAACAAGAATTACTTGGAAAAGTAATCAGAAAAACACGAGTGATATTGCGAAATATTACTACTTTTTATTTATTGAAAATATATATTATTGTACAAATATAAATTAGGTATAACATTTGATAAGTTATTAATAAATAAAGTAACAGTTTTTTATATAAAATTAATCATCAATCGTATTTAGGAACTCCACTTCTATTAATCCATTGTTCTGCTAGTTTTATTTTAAAGGGTTGTTTATTATACCAATCTTCTATAGACGGCAAAGAAAATACGTTATTTCGTATTGTTTTAATATTTGGATAAGATTGAAAAATATTTGTATTCAACATTAACGATAAATAATCAATAAAACCAGCTAAATAAAAATCAACCCACGTTAACTAAAATAAATTAATTTCTTTTAACAAAAGCAATAAATAAATAAAAACTACAATTACTCTTTTTAAAGCTAAATAACCACCACTTTCTTTAGAAATATCATCGAACACTTTCAAAAACGGCGTAACTTTCGTAAGTATAACTTCTCGCTTTTTAGCTTTTAATTTGGCGCTTGGTTCATAATGATAATCAATAACATCTATTAATAAATAAAGAAACGATTAATCCGATTATATCATTTAATCAATACTTACGTAACGCAAAATCCGTAAAATTATCTGCCATTGAATCTATTTCTAAATTTTCCCAATCATTTTCTCCAATTAAACCAAACTTTTTCCCTAAATATCTGAGTATAGCCACAGTTTGATGAGTAACTCGCCCATCTTCTTCATAAACGGGTAATTGTCCGAATGGATAAGCTAAATAATTATGTTTTATAAAAAAGTTGTAATTAGTATATTACAACTTTTTTAACATAATATATATAACATAATAACCTCGATATAATGAATTTCGCTAGAACGGACTACGGATATAATCCAACTCGGGGTATTCCCCGAGTTTTAATTGTTATTAAGCGCTAGATTGATTTATATTTTTATTGAACTAAAAGTAGAACTAACACTAAACCTAGAACTAGAAACATTCGGGTTTAGCCGTCTTAAAAAACGTTCGGCTAAACCCGAATATTTCTAGTTCTAAGTCTAATGTTAGTTCTTGTGACAGTGCTAGGCAGTGTTAGTAAGCACTAGATATCGGTATATTGCATATTTTTATTGAACTAAAACTAGAAATAACATTAGACCTAGAACTAGAAACGTGCGGGTTTAGCCGTACGTGTCTTAAGACGGCTAAAGCCGAATGTTTCTAGTTCTAGGTCTAGTGCTAGTTCTAATGCTAGTGTTTATTGTAGTTTTAATTGTTATTAAGCGTTAGATAGTTGCATATTTTTCATTGAACTAAAACTAGAACTAACATAAGACCTAGAACTAGAAATATTCGGGTTTAGTTGTACGTCTCTTAAGACAGCTAAACCTGAATGTTTCTAGTTCTAGGTCTAGTGTTAGTTCTAGTTTTAACTGTTATTCAGCACTGACGTCACGAACGGGCCTTCGAGCTGTGAACTTGTTGCCAGAGCATAGAAGTCCTCTTAGATTTTACCATCTTTAGTATAAATATAAAGCCACGTAGACTAAACACAACGAACTTTTGGCTGTAACGGACACTCCCTTTCCCGAATTAATCCGTTATATCGAGATTTTACTGTAAATTAAAATTAGTTACCGTTTTTCTCTTGGCGCCATATATCTAAATCATCAGTATCATACGTAATATCATCGAATTCTTTTTCACCATAAATCAAAAGTAATCGAATACATTCTCCACGTGCAGGTAAATCAAAATACGTTAATTTTATGGATTCCATTCTCCAAAATTTATTTTTATGCACTTATCGATTGTATCTTATCGATTAGTTGAGCTTAAATTTAACAGATTTTTTAATTTAACACTTTATTTCCTGACATATGTATTCACTCTAAGAAGAAACAATTCTTTTACAGCACAAAGTTATTAAGAATAAATTATTTCCGAGAAATATTAAAAATATCTTTTTCTCATAACCGACATGATTTTATTTAGTTGTAGTGAACTTACTGTTTTCGAATTTTTTATTTTAAGTTTATAATGTATTTTTTTAACTTACACCAACATTCACTACAATGTTGTGACAGATTCGCAAAAGATGGATTTTAATACGATCTACTTTAGAAATGGCAATCTTATCTGGAAACCCAGATGATAACAATGCAAAAAGGATGCACGCGCAAAAGATCAACGAACTAAATGAAAGGCATCATATCCTACATTAATTAATATTATTCATTAATTACATAATTATTAACAAAATGGAAATAAAAATTATGTTTTAAAAAAGCAATCTATATTTTTTATTTATGCAGGTGCTTAAAAGAACGTTATGATTAATATCCCAAAAATGTACTAAATCGTAAACAATTTAAAATACTTGAGTAATAAACCAAAAGATATGAGTGGCTTGGGGCTATTTTTAATGCAACTAGTATACGTAAAAATAAAAATAATGTAAAAAATTACCTGGTGTATCTGATACACTAAACGCTAATAATAAAATAAATTTTAATTTTATGCGAGCTAAAACTTCCAAGGAATTAGTTTTATACTCATTTTTTTCTCATATCAATAGATAAATGATAGATAAACTACTATTACAATAGGCAATTTTTTTATTATATCATGGCATCAACCTATGTAGTCATTGTTAAGTTGTAACAGTAATTGCTAAGTTGATTCCGTATTCGTTATCTCAATTTTAGTTTAAAATTTACTGTTTGTTTAAATATAACACATTACTAAACTATTGTTTTAAATTCTACGGCACACAGGGAAGTTGTTAAAAATTTTATTAAAAGTTTCGTAGTTTTGGCAAAGTTTTAGAATACATTTTATATAACTTGATGAACTTTCAAGTCCTTTAGTACCGAATTGTACAAAAACGAAAAGACCAACCGAAGAAGAAGCTCGAATTGCCTAATCACTGGACAATGTAGGACCTGCCGAAAAGTTGTAATCATCTCAAATTGTTGATCAATTCTCAGAACAACAAAAGCAATTCAAAAAAAGCAATATCATCGTAATTTTACTACCATAAGTACTTTCTGCAATCTTATTCAATTTTCCAAATCCTTGATCATCGTGGAGAATTTCAATTATTTATTAGAAGTTATAAACGATGTCAACGTGGCACGTGAAATCTCAAAGGTCGATCAAGATTTCATTGTAGTATTCGATGGTGATCGCATATATAAAATATGAGTTTTAAAGATCTCCGCTTGGGGTAAGTACCTTTTCCAAGCTCGAATATAGGAGGAGGATTAGCGGGGAGATTTAGTAACTTACCTCCTGTAAAAAAATCTAATAACTTAGAGGTTACTTTATGACGGCACACGCAAGAAGACTGAAAAAATTTGGAAAAAGGGAAACATACAACGAATAGCTACATGGAATATAAAATCACACAACAACTGAGACCAGAATATAATAGAAGACCTTGAACTAAGAAGGTTAGATATATGTTCTCTCCAGGAAACGAAAAAGAAAGAGACGAAATGAGATTATGTACTGGTATATAACGGGGTTGATAAGAAAATGAGAGCAGCTGCTAGAGTGGAAATTCTTATACAAAGTAAATACAGTAGACTTTAAGAGATACATGTTCGGGACTTTACCCGTGCCGGATTACTACAAATTTAGGACTATCGGGCGACATCTCCCACATGTCGCCCAAATGATAAGATATAGATCAGTTATATTACCAAGATGACGTTTTGTGACTAATATGTAGGTATAGTTTACCGGGCTGAGTAAATAAAAACTTTCAAACTCAAACAAAGGTAAAATGTAATGTATTTTACATTTCAGAATATAGCATAGTACATTAACAAACAACAAAAGTTAAAATGGGTCATTTAAAAAAAACCGGATGTCTTTTTGCTTTCTTGATTTTACTACATTTTTTATAAAAGTTATTTTTCAGGACATGTAAATCAATAAACTCTACGTAATAGTAACTAGAGCTTGTTTCTCTTTCCAGCTGATTCGCTCTATCTCTTCTACATCACCATCCGAAATTTGCTCGTCAACATTTACTGGTTGAGGATCAAGAACACTTTGTAAAATGGCTTCATCCGTCAGTTCTTCCTCAGATGGTTCATTCTTATCAATTTGTACCCATTCCGCAATTCCTCTTCAGGTATACTGTCTAGGGGATTGTTTTTAGATTTAGGTGTACCCCTGAATGCACCTAATATTTCATTTATTATATATTTTTTGAGGTGTTCCACCAGTTTCGACGAATGCGTTTGGCCATAGCTTCCTCTAACAGCGTTGCAAAGTGACTTCTATTACTTGTGACGAAAAGAGTGCGCTAGCATATACGGTATACTTGACCTTATATTTCTGTTGAAAGTCAGTCACGTAACAATCAGAGTATAATAAGTCCTGAAGAAAGGAGCTTCATAAAAACATTTAAAATTTTGAATAATCTCTTGATCTATAGGTTGGATCAATGAGGTAACATTTGGAGGCAAAAATATTGAAAATATGTTGCCACAAACCAACTCTGTTATTGTTGGAATAAGGTTTTCAGTTATCCAAAAGAAGGAGAGCTTTGCTGTCGTATACCAGTTTAAGGTTTTTAAAGTTATTCTTGACCCGTGGGATAAAGTAGTGTAAAAACCAGTCTTTAAATAATGTGGCAGTCATCCACGCATTTTGTTGGGCATCGTAACGACAGGCAAAGTTTTAATATTCTTAAAATCCCTTGGTTTTTTAGATTTGTCAATTACAAAAGGTGTTAGTTTTATGGTTTCCAGATGCATTAGCACCTAGCAAAACTGTCAACCTATCTTTGTTGTTCTTCAAATCATTAGCTGACTTATCTTCTCGCCCAGCTAAAGTTGAAGTTGTTAAACAACGCCAAAGTAGGCCTGTTTTATCGGCATTACACACTTGATCAGCTGACAAGTCTTTGATAATTTTGTCAAATTCTTCCTTATAATAGTTTGCAGATTCTTCATTTGGCGATTTTGTCTCTCCCGTGACATCAAGTCTTCGAATTNAACGATTTCTGTTTCATTTTTCTTTTCTTTTAGGTTTATTTGGTTATTACTTAAACAACTTTTAACTGCTTGAAACATTCTATTTTATTTTCAGTTATTTAACTATGTACAAAAACTTTTTGCAGAGAAAATCAACTTAATAATTGTTCAAAGTGTTGTCCGTTATTAGCTACACAATGGTACAACCCTTGTTCAAAACTACGGCGCACATTTTCAAAAACTTCTCTTTGAATTCCACGGCAAGCTGCAGTAATTCTCTGACGAAGTTCTTCTAAATTTTGAGGTTGAGGGGTAAATACAACAGACTTTAAATGACCCCATAAAAGAAAGTCTAATGGCGTTAAATCTGGTGATCTGGCTGGCCATTCTATAGGACCTCTTCGTCCTATCCATCTGTTTGGAAACGTATTATCTAACTACTGTCGTACTGGGAGAACATAGTGAGCAGGAGCTCCGTCTTGTTGAAAATGTAATTCATTCTCATCAAGTAAGGCATTTTCTTCTCTATCCAACTGATTCTCGAGAGCTTCCGTAATTAATGAATTGATAGTATTTTCTAACATATCCAAGTACACTTCGCCGTTTAAATTTCCATCGATAAACACTGGACCAATCACTTGGTCTCCCAAAATGCCAGCCCATACATTAACTTTTTCAGGATATTGTGTATGCCCTTCTACAGTCAGATGAGGGTTTTCATTACTCCAANAGGAATTTGTATAGTCCTCTTTGAGAAAAACGAAAGCGACCTACAAAAAATCTAGAATTCTTCAACAACATAGCAATACAACTCAATATGTGAAAAAGAGCCACTTTGATGCAAGCTGGAAGTGAACCAGAATATAATAGAATAGGTTGTGTCATTCAAGTACTTGGGAGTTCAATTATCAAGTTTCAGTGATATTGAAAATGAAATATCCCAAGGTTCCTTAAACGACATTTGTGGAATATGTAAGAGTACAATAAGACCGATCATGACCTATACGGCTAAGAGTAAACCTGACACATCTAAAACAAAACCGATATTGGAAACATCACAAATGAAGACACTATTATGAAGATGAAACTCTGAAAAAGAATGGAATGCACACATAGAAAGTATAGGACAAGATAGAGTAGTAAAAAAGACCAGTGATAAACTAAAGCCGGAAAGAAGCAAAGGTATGAATAAAAACTGAAATAAAAAGCATCCTAGAATTGCTTAGATTTAAAACTCACTTAAAATCAATAGATGTAACCTATACATTCGCCTTTCAACAATGTAAAGAGTTAAATAATAGTAGATAGGACTGCAGCAAAATAATATACTTACAGTGGTAAAATTACGATGATTTTCATTTGTTTTGTCTTGTTTCTGTAGTCCTGGGAATTGATCGCCAATTTGAGATGATTGCAACTCTTGGCAAGTCCTACGTTTTCCAGGGATTATGCAATTGGAGCTTCTTCACCGGCTGGTCGGTTCGTTTTTGTAAATTTCGATAAAGTTTACCGCGAATACTTGTTTATTGGATCAATTTGAGATACAACCCAAGTTTACGCGCGTTTACCATATCCCACTGATTGCGCCAGTTAAGTTCTTCAATTCAAAGTTTAAGATTTTTTGAAATAACTTTGAATTAAAGATTCAATAAATGAAACTTAACACTTTACTTACATTATCTTACTGCATCTTATTCAGTTTTCCAAGTCCTTGATCATCGTGGAGAATTTGAACGATTTATTAGAAGTATTAAACGACGTAAATATGGCACGTTATGGGGTCAACGTCAACAAATGCATACGACGAAATTTTCTAAATTAATGATACTCAGTTTTTCGATATGCACAATTTATATATTTCATTGCTTCATTAGCAATATGATTTATTGACCTCACATGATGTTTACGTATTTGAATGTTATAACTATAAGTACATAGATAAAAATAAAAATACAGTAAAACCTTGAAAAGTAAACATTATATATACATGGTGTACCATCGCTTGTGGTCTAGGCTTTATTGGCTTTTTTTACTTTTTTGATTTAGTGATATATAACAGTTTGAAATACCTATTACACATTTAACATAATTGTAAATTTTCAAAAATGTATTAATCTAATCATATTAAATTGACATTTTAATGAATCATTGCGAAAATATCAGCACTTACTATACAAATTATAAGCTTTGCATTGCCTAAAACTTATTTTCAAAATATCTTAAAAAATCGTTTCCTTCATAACAAGAAAATCTAGAAAATTATGTTCGAATTGACGATATTGCAGCAACAGAAGAGATGAATTTGAACATTGGCGATGTAATTGAAAACATGATCCTGCACAAGAAGAAGAAGAAGAAGATCTCGAGTGTGATACTGTTAAAAGCAGCAACTACTACATATAATGCGGCTTTCAAAGTAATTAATCATTTTCACTCTAGTTTTTTTAAGCAAAAAATACTAGACATGCCTCAATAAATAAATAAACTTCTATAGATATTTTAATATAACTATTTATCACTCTTCATCTTAATTAATCTTAATACAATAACATAAAACGATGGTTAATCTTTAATGAGTTTATTATAGCAGGATTAATCAAGACATAATAAATATTAAAAAATTAATTTTTAAAACAATTTTATTATATTTTAAATCACATTTTTAAGAAATTAATTTAAAAAAGTTATTCCTTGCCAGGTTTTCCTCTTGATTCCAACCAAAGTTTTGAGAATTCAAGGGAAAGTGGATATTTTTCATACCATTTTTTAATACCAGGTAGATTNCATAAAACTGTATTCTCCTGTCAAAATCGTCTTCAGTTAGCTCTTGATGTATTTTCAATTTATAAGGATGGAATTTGTGAAGTTTTACAACTTTATGAACAGAACCCAAGGATATACCAGTTGCACGAGATACCTGACGCAATGAAGTATTGGGGTTGATACCGAAATGACCCAACACTTCCAGTATTATGTTGGCAACGGACCCAGTCTGAGTGAATTTATTTATGAGATTCAGGACGTATGTATGAGATACGTTCTTATCTGGATGCCTTTCATTAAAAACTGCGGTAGTTCGTCGAGCACATTCATTTTGGGATCCATACATTAATACAATTTCAATCCTTTCTTGCAAACTGTAAACCATTATTGCTGTTTTATTTAAATAACTTTGTTAAGTGGATAACACAAAGTTGTTTAAGTAATAACCAAATAAACGTATGTTTAGAATTCCACTTTTATTTTATTCTTTTCTCGCAGTGTGAGCCTGCCTATAACTCGTTTATAGAAAGAGAAAAATTTCGTCTCTTTTTTTCCTTTTTTTGGCCATTCGAGTCAAGAGTAATTTTCATACAGGTTTAATGTAAAATACTTTCAATAAAATTTAGTTTAATTCATAATTACACGTGTTTAGTTTTCTTAAATATTTCCGATTGCTCCGAAATAATAAAGGTTTAATGGTCGTTGTAAAAACGAACATGGTAATTTAATTTTAAAAATTAATAATAAAAGATTACTTATTCTTGCTTTTAAGAAGGTGATTAAAGCTTTTAATATTAATTAAAGCGGGAAATACAAAACAAAGATTTTCGCAAAAATTTCGAAAACAAATCGATCAATTGAAAAAAAATAAATACTAACATGTAGTACCTTAAAAGACCTTTAAAATGAGGTATCACTTGACACCCCTTTCCATTTAAGATTTTTAAGGGGTTGGTTTCTGGCGGCGGAGGGTTGAAGTGAGTGAGTCAATTTTTGCATAAAAAGTTGTCCCCCTTGGTTTTATTCTTTACCTATTTCAGCGATTTTCTTTTTAAACTTCCGGATTTACAGAAATTGAGGTGGAAAGTTTTGAAATGAACACCCTGTATACTTCTGTAGTGCGTCGTCGGTCGCCTCTTTCCAGCTGATTCGCTCTATCTCTTCTCATCACCATCCGAATTTTGCTCGTCAACATTTACTGGTTGAGGATCAAGAACACTTTGTAAAATAGCTTCATCCGTCAGTTCTTCCTCAGATGGTTCATTCTTATCAATTTGTACCCATTCTACAATTCCTCTTCAGGTATACTATCTAGGGCAGTGCTTCTCAAACTATGGTACGCGTACCACTGATGGTACGCGAGAAGTTCTCAAGTGGTACGCAAAACAGTTTATATTTGCATTATCATTATTGTTTTTTTTTTGTTCAGTGGTACTTACCTGATTTTTAAAATAGCCTTAGTGGTACGCAAGGATATAAGTTTGAGAACCACTGGTCTAGGGGATTGTTTTTAGATTTAGGTGTACCCCTGAATACACCTAATATTTCATTTATTATATTTTTATTGAGGTGTTCCACCAGTTTCGACGAATTCGTTTGGCCATAGCTTCCTCCAACAGCGTTGTAAAGTGACTTCTATTACTTGTGGCGAAAAGAGTGCGCTAGCATATACGGCATACTTGACCTTATATTTCTGTTGAAAGTCAGTCACGTAACAATCAGAGTATAATAAGTCCTGAAGAAAGGAGCTTTTTTTTAAAAACATTTAACATTTTGAATAACCTCTTGATCCATAGGTTGGATCAATGAGGTAACATTTGGAGGCAAAAATATTGAAAATATGTTGCCACAAACCAACTCTGTTATTGTTGGAATAAGGTTTTCAGTAAGGAATTTGTATAGTCCTCTTTGAGAAAAACGAAAGCGACCTACAAAAAATCTAGAATTCTTCAACAACATAGCAATACAACTCAATATGTGAAAAAGAGCCACTTTGATGCAAGCTGGAAGTGAACCAGAATATAATAGAATAGGTTGTGTCATTCAAGTACTTGGGAGTTCAATTATCAAGTTTCAGTGATATTGAAAATGAAATATCCCAAGGTTCCTTAAACGACATTTGTGGAATATGTAAGAGTACAATAAGACCGATCATGACCTATACGGCTAAGAGTAAACCTGACACATCTAAAACAAAACCGATATTGGAAACATCACAAATGAAGACACTATTATGAAGATGAAACTCTGAAAAAGAATGGAATGCACACATAGAAAGTATAGGACAAGATAGAGTAGTAAAAAAGACCAGTGATAAACTAAAGCCGGAAAGAAGCAAAGGTATGAATAAAAACTGAAATAAAAAGCATCCTAGAATTGCTTAGATTTAAAACTCACTTAAAATCAATAGATGTAACCTATACATTCGCCTTTCAACAATGTAAAGAGTTAAATAATAGTAGATAGGACTGCAGCAAAATAATATACTTACAGTGGTAAAATTACGATGATTTTCATTTGTTTTGTCTTGTTTCTGTAGTCCTGGGAATTGATCGCCAATTTGAGATGATTGCAACTCTTGGCAAGTCCTACGTTTTCCAGGGATTATGCAATTGGAGCTTCTTCACCGGCTGGTCGGTTCGTTTTTGTAAATTTCGATAAAGTTTACCGCGAATACTTGTTTATTGGATCAATTTGAGATACAACCCAAGTTTACGCGCGTTTACCATATCCCACTGATTGCGCCAGTTAAGTTCTTCAATTCAAAGTTTAAGATTTTTTGAAATAACTTTGAATTAAAGATTCAATAAATGAAACTTAACACTTTACTTACATTATCTTACTGCATCTTATTCAGTTTTCCAAGTCCTTGATCATCGTGGAGAATTTGAACGATTTATTAGAAGTATTAAACGACGTAAATATGGCACGTTATGGGGTCAACGTCAACAAATGCATACGACGAAATTTTCTAAATTAATGATACTCAGTTTTTCGATATGCACAATTTATATATTTCATTGCTTCATTAGCAATATGATTTATTGACCTCACATGATGTTTACGTATTTGAATGTTATAACTATAAGTACATAGATAAAAATAAAAATACAGTAAAACCTTGAAAAGTAAACATTATATATACATGGTGTACCATCGCTTGTGGTCTAGGCTTTATTGGCTTTTTTTACTTTTTTGATTTAGTGATATATAACAGTTTGAAATACCTATTACACATTTAACATAATTGTAAATTTTCAAAAATGTATTAATCTAATCATATTAAATTGACATTTTAATGAATCATTGCGAAAATATCAGCACTTACTATACAAATTATAAGCGTTGCATTGCCTATAACTTATTTTCAAAATATCTTAAAAAAATCGTTTTCTTCATAACAAGAAAATCTAGAAAATTATGTTCGAATTGACGATATTGCAGCAACAGAAGAGATGAATTTGAACATTGACGATGTAATTGAAAACATGATCTTGCACCAGAAGAAGAAGAAGATCTCGAGTGTGATACTGTTGAAAGCAGGAACTGCTACATATAATGCGGCTTTCAACGTAATTAACGATTTAAAAGCTTTTGCAAATGACGATTACATTGCATTTGAACACCTCAAAAATTAGAAGATTATTTTCAATCTAGTTTTTTTAAGCAAAAAGTGCTAGATATGCCTCAATAAATAAATAAACTTCTATAGATATTTTAATATAATTATTTATCACTCTTAATCTTAATTAATCTTAATACAATAACATAAAACGATGGTTAATCTTTAATGAGTTTATTATAGCAGGATTAATTAAGACATAATAAATAATAAAAAAAATTTTAAAACAATTTTATTATATTTTAAATCACATTTTTAAGAAATTAATTTAAAAAAGTTATTCCTTGCCAGGTTTTCCTCTTGATTCCAACCAAAGTTTTGAGAATTCAAGGGAAAGTGGATATTTTTCATACCATTTTTTAATAGCAGGTAGATTCATAACGTTATCGTAAACAACCTTCAAATTCGGATTATTCTCCATTATATTAAGTTTACCCATCAAGGATATGTAATCTATCATTGATGCAAAAAAGAAATCTACCCAAGTAAGCTACAAAAAAATTTATTATCAAAAGTAACAAAATGAATGTATAAAAATTAATTACCTTCTTAGCAGCTAGGTATCCCCCGTTTTCTTTAGCACTTTTTTCAAAACGTTCCAAATAAAATGGAATAGTTTCTTTATAAAGTGGTTCTTTTAATTTATCTTTTGCGCTATCATTTGGTTCATAATGATACATTGCAATTTCTGCAAAAATAATTAATAGATTTTACCAATTGAAATTAAATCAAATTAATTACATACTTATAATAAAATCTCGAAACGTTTCTGCCATCGCATCAATTTCTAAATCTTCCCAATCATCAGCACCAATTAATTTATACTTTTTTCCTAAATATCTCATAATAGCAACACTTTGATTTATAATTTTACCATTTTCTTCGTACAAGGGAAGTTGTCCAAACGGGGTTTTCGGTTTCAAATTTAACCAATTATTAGGATCAATAAGTACATCTTCAAATTCAACACCACTATACGCCAATAATAAACGAATAGGTTCCCCGAATGCTGGTAAATTAAAATATGTTACTTTTAATTTAGCCATTTTGTAATTAAAAAGGTTAAAAGATTCTATCTGAATAAGAGCTAACAGCAGTTGATCGACGTTTTTATATCTTTCTATTTAATTAAAGATAAAAAATATCTGTAAAATTTATCTTAGCAAAAAAATCTATTTAATTCGATTTTTTATCTGAGTTATCATCATAATTTTATTGTGAAATAAGGAAAAAATACTTTTGGTATTCTAAATATTGCTTAATATGTCACGATACCATGTGAATCATGAAATATTAGATAATATTTACTTTTATATATTATTTTTTTAATTACATCATGTTTAAACACATTTAAAAATTAACCAAAATTGTGGTAAAAAATTTTTACGGAAAAGTTTATTTTCCTTTTCACTACTAATTAACTGAAGTTGCCTACGCTTTTTATATGGCATGAAAGAGTAACATTTGTAACACAATTGGATTGAAATTTTATTTCTTAATGTTTATCTGATATAAAGACATATTAAACGAGTGTCATTATTTCAAATTTAAGTAACTGAATGTTAAGGCCAATATTGATGATTTTAATGTATCGACTTTTATGTCAAGATCTATAGCAGCTAAATAGATAATGCTTAAAGAGTTTCAGTCTATAAATAAAGGTGTTACACCAAGAAAAAATTTGTGAAAATTTGTAACAGAAACTGGCGAAGCAATAATAATAATCCACGAAAATGCAGAAGGTTTAGCTGCTTCTCTATTGTAATATTTTTGCAATCATGAGCTCCGATTGTACTGTACACATTCCATTTTTCTTTATATTCATAGACAATATCCCATTCCTTTCCAGTTTAAAAACAAGTACTGAACTCAAATAATGTGGATACGTTGTAGCAAGCAGCCATAAAATTGCAAAACATTTCAAAAAATACTCTTGATTTACGCTTAGCGAAAAGCAGGAAATTTTGAAACAATAAATCTGTGGTCAAGTGGAAATCGTTGGCCACAAAGTATGGCGTTGGCACTGCAGCAATTTCGAACATTATCAATTTCGCAGAAGTTAATTGGTCATTGTATTTCAACACCAAAACATAAAAAAGTCTGCAAAATTCAGTTTACTCCGTTATGGAAATAGTAGTTGTAAATGGTTTTTGTTACAAAGAGAAAGACAGTGGCACCACCACTGTTCTAAGGGAAAAGGTTATACAGATTTATGCCAAACATGATAATGATAACAAGTTTATTACAAGTAAAGGGTTAACCGATTTAAAGAAAGGTATGGCATTCGCAGATTAAAAGTTAGTAAGGAAAAGGTGACAAGCGATATATTATGATATTACAAGTTTTCTGAAATAATTTACGGAATAAATATATGTGCGTAAGCTATTATCTAATCTAGATAAATCAGCATTATTTTGGAAGCTAGTTAAATCATGCATTAGTACATGTCAAAGAAACCTTAGCTACAGGGCGAAAAAGTTCCAAAGAGAGAGCAACTTTTCTCGCTTCTGCCAATGGCCATAGTACTCATAAACTCAAAATGGAGGTTATTAGCAAAGCTAAAGATCCCAGAGCTTTTAAAAATGCTAATATTCCAGTTGAGTACCATTTAAAAAAGAATGTATGGATGACATCCGCTCTATTCGTTGAATGATTACATATATCTTTTGTCAAACAAGTAAGAACGTTTTATAAAGAGAGCAATCTTAATGGGATGGCGGTGTTTTAATGCTTCAGTTACATTCTAGAAGCATAGTTGAGAAACGATGATGGTGAAATTGGAACCATGTTTATGCTGCCTAATTACACCACGTTACTTCAGCCAATAGATCATAACGGTATACGGCTAACAAAACTTTATTATTGAAAAGTTTTTTGGTCGACATTTCAGACATTTCAAACGCTCCCATAATTATTAACTTGATGGATGCAGTCTTTCTTAACTCGCGCTCTTGGGATAACGTGTTAACTAATACATTAAATAAATGCTGAAAAAAAATATTTTCCTATTCTACTGATAATGTTTCCGCAGCAATATCATCTGAAGATGATTCAGGTGATAGTTATAGATGAACGAAAAACGAAAGATGGAGAGACAATCAGGAGTTTTAACACTTGTATAAAATGGTCTGAAGAAAATGGAGCCGAATTAGGAAGTCTGCACACACTTAGGCTGACGCGAGAACGAGCAATGGAAACTAAACAAATTTAACAAGCAAAGATTACACACATAAAACTAAAACTAGAACTAACACTAGCACTATCACTAGAACTAACAATAGACCTAGAACTAGAAACTTTAGGGTTAAACTGTACGGTTTTTGAAAAAATGTTTAACGTTTCGGATGCCATGTTGCAACCTTTTTCAGAAACTTGTGAAAGACTTCGCACTTGTTTCTGAAGAAAGTTTCTAGTTCTAGTGCTAGTGCTACTATTAGTTCTAATTTTAGTTTAATTAACACCGGTCGTGAAAGCCTTCGTACTTATGATTAGGCATTTTTAACTAAATTATAATGTTTATAATTTCTGGTACATTTGTGAAGCGATATTTGAATAAAAATGAAATGAATAAGAAAGCTGATAAGATATATCAACTTATTTGGATCCAAGATACAAAATGAACTTTTTTGATGCTGATTTAACTAACGAAGCAACTCTAAAAAGAGGATACTTTGATTAATAATTGGCGATGTTTCCACCAGGATCCTTCAAGAAATGAATTTTATAGCGAATTTGGAAAGTTATCGATGAAAATTGCAACATCGAAAATTTTATCAAAACTTCGAATATTACTTTCTCTAAAACTAAAAGTTATTTTTCAAAACGTGTTATTTCATTGTAAAGAGGACACTCTTATTAACAGTTTAGGAAATTTTCATACTCATATTCCAAGAACTGGATTTTATACGAATTTTTAAAACTTGTAAAATTGTCGATTATTTCAAAAATTTATTTCTCAAGAACTAAAAGTGGTTTTTCAAAATGGCTTTTTGTATTAAGAAGAGGATACTTTAATTAATAATCGAAGGAGATAACAGTGACAGTTCTGTTAGTAATGAATGTGATGATGAATTACACGTGAAGAGAAGGAGAAGAAACTGCAATAAGAGATTTTACACTGTGTTAATTAATTATCGTAACCCACGTGACCTGTGTAATATTGGCTGCATATCTCAATATGTAGTGGTAGCTTGCATAATTTTAAATTAGTAACCAGATGTTGCTGCTTTTATATTTTTCTAAACACTTCTTTTTAGAACTATCGTTGATTCTGCGGTTGCTTTAAGCGGTAAGTCAATAAACAAATCAAAATAACAACTACTTTCAACATTAATTTTAATCTATGGGCACACTAAAAATTGTGTTAAATAAAAGGACAGAAAGTTAAACCTTTTTTATATTTAAAATATTTTTTTAATTATTAAAAAAAAAAAATTAATCTATTAAATCTATTAAAATATATTTTAAACGGCTTTTAAAGTTAATGAATAGAATATAATAGCGCCATCGTTTTTAGGAATTTTCGTGGCTACAAAGAATGCAACCAATCTCTGATATTGGTTGCATACTTTGTCGGGTACGATAATTAATTAGCACAGTGTACAGTGTGTACATTAGCACTGTACACTGTGCTAATTAATTATCGTAACCCACGTGACCTGTGTAATATTGGCAGCATATCTCAATATGTAGTGATAGCTTGGATAATTATAAATTAGTAACTAGATGTTGACAGCTGATTGTACGTTATTGTACCTTATGTATAATTATGTATAGTATTGTATTTATACCTTTATCTACAGATGTTGCTGCCTTTACATTTATGGAAACAGTTCTTTTTAGAACTATCGTTGTTTCTAGCGGTTGCTTTAACCGGTAAGTTAATAAACAAATCAAAATAACCACTACTTTCAATATTAATTTCAATCTATGGGTACACTAAAAATTATTTTAAATAAAAGGACAGAAAGTTAGACCTCTTTTTAAATTAAAATATTTTTTAAACATCATTTAAAGTGAATAAATTGTCGCCATCGTTTTTAGGAACTTTCGTCGCGTTGCAATACCAATCTGTGGTATTGGTTGTATATTTTGTCGGGTACGATAATTAATTAACACACTGTATATATCGTATTGGGATTGTTACAATGAGGTTGCTAAAGACAAACATGATATAAATAAAGTTGTATTCAATGAAAAAAGTGCTATTGGGGTTGAACTTGATTATTATCTGCAGTGTCCAACACCTAAAAGNACACTGTATATATCGTATTGGGATTGTTACAATGAGGTTGCTAAAGACAAACATGATATAAATAAAGTTGTATTCAATGAAAAAAGTCCTATTGGGGCTGAACTTGATTATTATCTGCAGTGTCCAACACCTAAAAGAGATTCTAATTCCTGTGAATGGTGGAGTACTCAGTAATAGGTTTTTAATATCCGGCCGAAGCCGAATATTTGTTAACTATCCGATATCCGGCCGGATTTTCAAAAATGGCCCGATTAGCCGGGATACCGGATAGTTGCCGGATATCCGTTCCACCACTATTTAACATTTTTGGAAATAAATTCGATCTTGATAGTATGCTATCTTACATGAACAACATCCACAAGAATCTTAAATTCACCTTGGAGATAAAAAAGGACAACTGCTTAAATTTCCTAGACTTAAAAAAACAAAAAATTGACAATAATTTTAAGTTTGACATTTTTAGGAAGCCCTCATCTTTAAATACTTTCATCCTTTATGATTCGTTCCATCCCAACAACTACAAATTAGCTGCTTTCCAGGCTTTTATTGTCACACTATTGAAATATCCTCTAGACTATACATTCAAACTAAAAGAACTAAATTTTATTAACAGATTAGCAAGAGAAAATGGTTATCCAAGTTATACCATCGACCAATTACTGTATAAAAACCTCATAAAACTAGACCCTTTATACTCTACGAATAAAAATAACTTGACAACTATAAGACAATAACATACAACAAAATAAACTGCAAAATTAAAACCATACTACAAACCTATGGTGTATCTGTCAGCTTTAAATGTAAAGGACAACTGGTGATTCCATTTCTAACTACAAACAAAAAGAAAGCGCTTTGGATTGCAGTGGTGTCTATTCTGTTAAGTGTTGCGACTGTTCTGCTATGTATGTTGGTCAGCCCGGTCGAAAATTGCAAAAAAGACTATGCGAACATAAAATCAGATGCACTTCGAACATTTTCAAACATAAATTAGAAACAGGCCATAACATTGATTATGACAATGTACAACTCCTACATAAGTGTAAAAAAGGTTTGAAAATGAATTTCCTTGAAGTGTTCGAAATCGATAAACTTAAACATAATGATAACTATCTTACTTTAAATGATCAACTCGAAAACTATTATAAACCACTATACGCCTTTTTGAAAAAATAATTTCATTTTAAAATTATTTTACTCTGATATTTTTATTCCTTTTTGTAACCTGCTTTAAATTTGGTTCGATGTTGATTTGACAGTCGTCTTTGGAGTTCAATTGTGTACGGTATTGTGTTTTCTTGTTTAGAATAGTTATTTTCGTGTTTCTTTTAAATAATGTTTTATTTTAACGTAGAAATTTGTTTGTTCAACGTGATCTTTTAACTATTTGACTATAAGTTGAGATATATTTAAGTAATTTTATTGTTTTTTTTTTTATATTTTTTAAGATCATTATAGTTATTATGTCCTTTTGTAGATTTGGCTGATGATGACATCATAATATGTCGAAACTGGTACCAAGTATATAAACTTAATTAATAAAAAAACTTTAGAGGTCAAGAGGCCTACTTATTATTATTTCATTTCAACACTATTTAACAGTCTAAACTGTAATTTTTAAATTATTTTCGAGAATCCAAATCGTTCGCGTTTTAATTAATTCGGATTAACGTTTATTTTTAATTTAACATTTGTTACATTTAAAAATGTTAACAGTTATTATACTTTTTCTGTTCTGTAAAGTTGTTTTTAATTTACGACAAATTTTTTACCAGTATTGTTTCAAGGTTATTGTTTCAATCATTCATTTGTTTTAACAGCTCTATGACTAATGCCCCTGAATTATCACGAAGTGTTGTGTTATCTTGTAATTCCATTTAACACAATTGAATCTTAGTTTACATTAAGTAAACCAATTGGAATTTTTGATGATTGAATTTTTTTAATATTTAATTTGATTTTGTTCAATCACGCTCTACCACTTTAATTTATTATATTATAATCGGCGATAAAGGAATTTAATATAATTTAACATAATCATCATTAATATAAATGCCTTTTCAGAAAGATTGTTATTTAAAAATAACAAATATCGCTGATTATTTACTGTTATTCCATAACTATTTGTTTTTGCTGCTATAGTTGACATGCCAACAATATTTGTAAAGAAAATTCTACAATACCAACAATATTTGTAAAAAAAAATTTATTGTGTTTTCAGAAGTGTTTATTTATAGAACAAAATTAAAGAATTTATAAAAAATATTTTTAGAATTCATAAGAATTTATCGGCTTATTCTGCGCTAGGTTTTCCTGTCGCTTCCAACCAAGCCTTTGTTCCATCAAGCGTAAGCGGATATTTTTCATGCCATTTTTTAATAGCAGGTAATTTCATGACATTGTCGTAAACAGCCTTCAAATTCGGATTGTTTTCCATTAAATTAATTTTACCCATCAAAGACATGTAATCTGCCATTGCCGCGAAAAAGAAATCCACCCAGGTAAGCTATAAAGAGAAAGTATAGAGTCAAAAGTTTACAAATAAAAATATAAAACTTAATTACTTTTTTAACTGCTAAATGTCCACCGTTTTCTTTAGCGATTTTTTCAAAACGTTCCAAGTAAAATGGAATTGTTTCCTTATAAAGTGGATCTTTTAATTTAGCTTTTGTGCACTTGTTTCATAATGATACATTGCAACTTCTATAAAAGTAATTAATAGGTTTTAACAACTAAAATTAAATCAAATTAATTCCATACTTATAATAAAATCGCGAAATGTTTCAGCCATAGCATCAATTTCTAAATCTTCCCAATCATTAGCACCAATTAATTTATATTTTTTTCCTAAATATCTCATAATAGCAATACTTTGGTTCATAATTTTACCATCTTCTTCGTACAAAGGAACCTGTCCGAACGGAGTTTTTGGTTTAATATCTAACCATTTATCACCTTCGATGCGTATATCTTCAAACTCAACACCACCATATACTAACAATAACCGAATTGGTTCACCTAACGCCGGTAAATCAAAATACGTTACTTTTACTTTAGCCATTTTACGATCGATATCGTATGAGAGACTCGTTTTCAATGAGAGCTAACAGCAGATGCTTAATGTTTTTATATATGTAACCTTGAAATTGTTGTAGACAAAGATGGTTTGAGTTGGAATTCGTTTTTGTAACCTATGAGGAAAAATATTCTGTTAATTATAAATCATAATGATTGTGAAGTTAAAAACATAATATTTTAGAAGAATTCTAATTATTCACATATGATAAGTACACGCCTGATTTATTTTTAGATTTTTTAGAAAATAATTTCAATGTTATATTCTACGTCTGAACCTTATTTTGAAGATGATATTTTGATGATGCTCCAGTTTATTAAAAGAGTTTATCAAGTTTTTTAATTGAATCCAGGTTTGATTGATTTAATGCTAACTGGATTAAACGGTATTTGTTATTAATCTTAGTTATGTTGTTATTGTAAATATTGGACAGACATTACAAGAAATACGTAAGGAAATACGAATAGCCTTAATACTCTAAAACACGGAATTACAACTGTTAAAGTGTTAGGAGCAAAAATCTCTCAGGTTGGCAGACTAAAGTACATTAGCCCGAAATAGTAACAAAATTGTCCCGACATCTTTGGAATTCACGTTCAGTCTTCTCTATGGTTATGCTGTCTATTTTGTAGTTCATGTCCTATAAGTTTTAAATTTTGTTTGATAAATTTTGTACAAATAGATTTGTACAAATATTTTTTCTCTGAAATGGTTTGAAATTGAGAAACAAAACTTTTTATGATTATACAATAATGATTGTTGATATTAGTGATGGAACGGATAGTGATTTTGCGAAAAGCCGGATTCGGCATCCCCTTCGGCCGGATTTCCGGTTATCCGGCATATCAATCCAGCCATTATGGTTATAATTTCTGGTGTATTTCTGAAGTGATACCCTACATTGCCACATTAATGCGATATTTGAATAAAAATTAATCGTCGAAAATTGTAGATCATTTCAAAAATTTATTTCTCAAGAACTGAAAGTAATTTTTCAAAATGGCCTTTTGCATTAAAAACAGGATACTTTAATTAGTAATTGTTGATATTTCCACAAGGATCCTTCAAGAAATTAATTTTATAGCGAATTTTGAAAATTATCGATGAAATTTGCAACATCGAAAATTTTATCAAAACTTCAAATATTGTTTTCTCAAAAACTAAAAGTTATTTTTCAAAACGGGTTGGTTCATTGGAAAGAGGACACTTTTATTAACACTTTGGAAAATTTTCATACTCATATTCCAAGAAATGGATTTTATACGAATTTTTAAAACTTAATCGGCGAAAATTGCAAAATTCGAAAAAATTGTCGATCATTTCAAAAATTTATTTCTCAAGAACTAAAAGTGATTTTTCAAAACGGCTTTTTGCATTAAAAAGAGGATACTTTAATTAATAATTGGTGATATTTCCACAAGGATCCTTCAAGAAATTAATTTTATAGCGAATTTTGAAAATTATCGATGAAAATTGCAACATCGAAAATTTTATCAAAACTTCAAATATTGTTTTCTCAAAAACTAAAAGTTATTTTTCAAAACGGGTTGGTTCATTGGAAAGAGGACACTTTTATTAACACTTTGGGAAATTTTCATACTCATATTCCAAGAAATGGATTTTATACGAATTTTTAAAACTTAATCGGCGAAAATTGCAAAATTCGAAAAAATTGTCGATCATTTCAAAAATTTATTTCTCAAGAACTAAAAGTGATTTTTCAAAACGGCTTTTTGCATTAAAAAGAGGATACTTTAATTAATAATTGGTGATATTTCCACAAGGATCCTTCAAGAAATTAATTTTATAGCGAATTTTGAAAATTATCGATGAAAATTGCAACATCGAAAATTTTATCAAAACTTCAAATATTGTTTTCTCAAAAACTAAAAGTTATTTTTCAAAACGGGTTGGTTCATTGGAAAGAGGACACTTTTATTAACACTTTGGGAAATTTTCATACTCATATTCCAAGAAATGGATTTTATACGAATTTTTAAAACTTAATCGGCGAAAATTGCAAAATTCGAAAAAATTGTCGATCATTTCAAAAATTTATTTCTCAAGAACTAAAAGTGATTTTTCAAAACGGCTTTTTGCATTAAAAAGAGGATACTTTAATTAATAATTGGTGATATTTCCACAAGGATCCTTCAAGAAATTAATTTTATAGCGAATTTTGAAAATTATCGATGAAAATTGCAACATCGAAAATTTTATCAAAACTTCAAATATTGTTTTCTCAAAAACTAAAAGTTATTTTTCAAAACGGGTTGGTTCATTGGAAAGAGGACACTTTTATTAACACTTTGGGAAATTTTCATACTCATATTCCAAGAAATGGATTTTATACGAATTTTTAAAACTTAATCGGCGAAAATTGCAAAATTCGAAAAAATTGTCGATCATTTCAAAAATTTATTTCTCAAGAACTAAAAGTGATTTTTCAAAACGGCTTTTTGCATTAAAAAGAGGATACTTTAATTAATAATTAGTGATATTTCCACAAGGATCCTTCAAGAAATTAATTTTATAGCGAATTTTGAAAATTATCGATGTAATTTGTAACATCGAAAATTTTATCAAAACTTCAAATATTGTTTTCTCAAAAACTGAAAGTGATTTTTCAAAACGGCTTGTTGCATTAAAAATGGATACTTTAATTAATGATTGGTGATATTTCGACCACGATCCTGCAAGAAATTAATTTTATAACGAATTTTGAAAATTATCGATGAAATGTGTATCATCGAAAATTTTTATCAAAACTTCAAATATTGTTTTCTCAAAAACTAAAAGTAATTTTTCAAAACGGCTTTTTGCATTAAAAAGAGGATACTTTAATTAATAATCGAACGTGATAACAGTGACAGTTGTGTTAGTAATGAATGTGATGATGAATTACAAGTGAAGAGAAGGATACTAGACGAAACTGCCAGAGATTTTATATATCGTATTGGGATTGTTACAATGAGGTTGCTAATGATAAATAAAGTTGTATTCAATGAAAAAAGTCCTATTGGGGTTGAACTTGATTATTTCCGCAGTGTCCAACACCTAAAAGAGATACTAGTTCCTGTGAATGGTGGAGTACTAAGTAATAGGTTTTTAATATCCGGTCAAAGATGGCCAGATAGGCCGGATACCGGATAGTTGCCGTATATTTATTCCACCACTAGTTGATATATTATACCAAATTTTGAGTTTCCAACGTAAACGTTTTATTTTACCAAAAAATATAATATAGTTCACCAGGTTGAATTTGACATTTTTTGAACAAATTTTGTTTGGAAAACAAAATTTAAGTTTTTTGGAAAATTAGTTTTTTATTTATTTATTTTAATTTAATATTTTGCTATAGATGAAAAAAACAAGGAAAAATATAAGATAAAACGTAATTAATTCTATTAACACAGTCATTTTATATCTTAAATAACTCCATCATCACCATGATTAAGAAAATTTCAAAAAATGTTTAATAAGAACTTTAATCAGTTAAAAACAAATTTATCGTATCCATAAAGTTCGTGGTAAAACGTTAACGGGTACTCGTGAGAATGTTAGATAAGCTAAAATTATTATTCGCACATAACAACTTATCGAGTTCCTTTAACATTTTTTTTTTTGGAAAGATAATTTCAGTTTAAATTCAAGCCAGTGACTATTAAATTTTGGAAATTATTACTTAATGTTACGAAATATATATCACGTAATCCTATTTAAGTTCTCTGAGCCGAGCACAAAATGGTAAACGATGATTCGTCCTCGGTGAATATCAATGAACAAAGTGGTATCGTTTTGCAGGCAGCTGCTAAAATTGACCTTGAGGTCATATCCATTTAGAAGAAACATTCAACCGTTAAAATTTGAAATGACAAATCAAAACATAAAACAATCACAATCAAAAAATTGTTAAAAATAAAGTTTTTTTTGTCAAAAATATTGTTTTATCACAATTTACTTGATTATGATTCCTATGGGGAGGTAATCACTATCGAAAAGCTTTTATATTATTTATAAAACCGCGAGGAAATCGGGTATTGATTTGGTTGTTTGGTTTTTATTTAGATTATTCTTTGTTCGATCCAATTTCATTTTGTCGTGTTCAAAAAAACAAGCAGATAGAGCGAAGAAAAGTGTAAAGGGGGGGAAACAAAAATGTTCCTATAAATAGAACTGGATATTAACCACTTCCATTTAGTCGCAAACGAAGTCTGCCGTCGTTTGGATCCAATAAAACGAACAAATTCAAATAAATTCAGGTAGGTGTATGTTTTTGCTCATAATCACATCCGACCTTGATGTAATTATAGTATGTAGATGTAGTTCTAGACATCTATTTAGTTTTCCGCCTCGTGATTACAATCTCATTAACATTTTTATTCCAATTTTAAAAAATCGAAAAAAATTATTTTGTTACACAGAAAATAATTAATAAAAATGACTCCGAAATTAACATATTTTAATGGAAAGTGGTTGGCTGAGTTAACACGCCTTCTCTATAGCTATGGTAGCGTTGAGTTTGAAGATGTTCGCGTGACATACGGTGGAAGTGAATGGGATAGTTTAAAACCAAGTAAGTATATATGACTTTTCACTTAATTAATTTAAAGAAAAATGTGTTAAGGAATTATTGATTTCTATAGCAACTCCGTTTGGTCAATTACCAACGCTGGAGGAAAATGGAAAGGTTGCTTGGCAAAGTGCTGCTATTGCTAGATATGTTGCAAAAAAAGTTGGATTAATGGGATCTAACGATTGGGAAAATTTGGAAATTGATGCCATAGTCGATACTTTAGCTGATTTAAGATTCAGTAAAAAAAAATCTAAATATTTGACTTAATTTTATTGTTTAAATTTTTTAGAAATGTCCCAATTTTTTTATGAAAAAGATGAAACAAAACAAGGAGCTTTAAAGAAAACTGCTATCGATGAAACGATCCCTTATTATTTGGAGAAATTGGATAAAATTGCCAAAGAAAATAACGGTCATATGGTGGCTAAAAAAGTATATTTTAAAAATTATTTTTTAATATTTGAGTTAACACGAATTTTCTTTTTTAGTTAACCTGGGCTGATTTTGCTTTAACAGTACTTCTCGATAACATAGAAGTTATTGGTGGAAAAACTCCATATGAAAAGTTTAAAAACTTAATTGCTGTAAAGAATAATGTTGAATCAATTCCCAACATTAAAAAATGGCTTGAAACTAGACCTGTTACTGAATTTTAAATTTCTTTTTTGTATTCTACAACAATAAAAGTTTTTATTCTAAAAATAATCTTTGATGTTTAACTTTATAAAAATAACACATTTAAGATTGCTTTTTTTTCAGGGTAATTAAAGTATCAAATTCCGATTTAATTGTAATCTGTGAATCTTGTAGTGTTTTTAAATTTATAGATAAATAAGGTAATCTAAGCATATTAATTTTCAAGTTCAATATTTATTTGTTTGCTTCAAAGGTTGGTTTAAGAAAAAAAAAATATTTTTTTTTCCACAAGTGATGATAAATAAATCTTAATTAAATGATTCCTTATTACTGGTTAACATTATTTAGTGTATTCCTGTTATTTAAATATTTATGGGTGTTTTTACAAAAAATCACATAATTTTCATTTTTTGAACTATTTTGGTACTCTTATTCTTTCTTCATAATATTTTTGTAACAAGTAATTAATTTTTATCGATAATTTAGTATTCAAAATACTATTAAATATTAATTCAGAAAATATGTTAATTGATCCATCGTTGTACCTTGAAACAACGTTGAGTGTAAATTGGGCCAATTAGTACTACACCTAATTGTATTTATCTACTTTATTATTAACAACAAAAATAGACCTTGTAAGTACATACATGGATATATTTTTAATTACAAAACATTGTAGTGACTAAAGTCAATTAACAAGATAATTTGTTCTTCTCTTTTTGACAATCCAAATCAAAGAGCCAAGTTGTTAGTTGTATTAAATCGTCTTCTTCGATTTTTCTTCTCTAATCAATTCAAAGTAACTTTATGGATCGTCATCTGATGAAGACTACAAAGCTGAATATTTTCGTAACTTTCCTCTTCACTACATTCTTTAAAACTTTTTTGAATTTTAGGGCTTCTCTAGCAATTTTTCTTTTTACAGTTTGTTTACCATTTTTTTTTCTGTTTAACATGTTTAGCATCATTTTTACTTTAAATAATTTTAATTGTTCTTCAATTTCGTTTTTTTTTTCTGGCGTATCTGATAATATCCCATTCTTCTACCTCTGTTTTGTTTCTTTCTGGAAGCTGTCATCGGAGTGGTCACTACTACCTTCATCGTTGACAGCCATCGTGACTTGTAGATTGTTCACGTAATTCAATTTACATCTAACCGACTCTTTGCTAAATGTCATGCATTTTGTTTTTTCAGAAGATTTTGCCATATTAAGAAAAACTAGAAAGATGTAGCACATGTTTCTGTATTCATGTTTCTGTATTCACTCTTGGCCACAAATTCAATGATCTTTGTCTCTAGAGTCCCAGCTCGACGATTTTTACTTCTACGTTTTTCTGGTTTTTGTTTTATAAATACCCAATTTCATCGTTGTCAGGTAAGGTTTCGGTAGTTTGTTGACTTGTGGACGGTTGACATTATTTAATTTATACCTTACCGACTACGTGCTGAATGTCATGCTTTTTGTTGTTTCGGTGGATATGGCCATGTTGAATTTTTCTGCTGTTTCATATAAAGTAGAGAATTCTCTACTCTTAAGACGCTCTTTGTAGAGCGGTCCCATTCTATACTCCCTCTTTAGTTTTGTGATCTTTTTTATCATTTTGTCCATTATTACATTGAATAAAAAGGAGTCAAACTGTCAAACTAAAACAGCTGCTTTATGAAAGACGCCTGTAGTGGATCTGTTTTTCCTGAAGCACTGTTCACTGTTTTACTCTATAATTCTCAGTGTTCTTTATTTAACATTTTTTAAATATCAGTATCTAAATGCTTTCTTGCCATTCAGTGGGTGTTATAGATGTATTTTTAGCTTATTAATTGTTTTTCTGACTTCTTTAGGTATAAGTGGCGCTTCTTGCTTTATAGAACCCGTCTCTTGATTCTCTACATTTTCTTCTGCATGATATATATTTGTGAAATGGTATTCCAATTTATCTAGCGGAATGCTTTTGATCTGCACAAATTCGTTTACTGTCTTTTTGGATTTTTGAGCATCCTCCAAATTTTCCGTTGGGCACCGTATAAGTCGTTATCCATATCACAAGTATATTTGGTCCAGTACTTTCTTTTTTCACTTTGTTTCTTGTTTTAATGTATACTCTATAGTTTTCTGGTGAGGGAGAGCTTTTGTGTTGTTGGTAAACTTTTCGTTTTTGTTCAGCCAACTATTTGACCTCTAGCACAAACTAATGATTTTGTTTGTTTTTGAGTATTAGTCATAGTGATAATGGCCTCCAGTGCTGCAGCCATTATTGATTTCTGTATTGTCATACATTGTTTTCCAATGTTGTCGTCTTTATTTTCCGTTCCGTGCAGTTTGTAAGTCTTTTTTTATATATTTTTTGCTTACTTTCATGCGTTAGAGATTCTAGATTATATTTGTCCGTGATTATTAGCGATTTTTAAATTTTATTAGGTTGTTTGATACTGAGCTTGATTTAGTAATATATGTAGTTACCTTCGTTTCAAAATTCTTTTGTTCTAACTGTGACTAAGATAGGTTTCGAATCTTTGAAATTGATGAACGAGAATTTTTGGGATTTCAAGCGTTAGAAAATTTCGCGTTGCGATCTTAAACACACTAGAATTTCCGACTAGGCGTTGACAAATTTGTCTTGCGTTTGATAGATGTGCAACAATGGTTGGAGAAGAATCAGGTGTTCAACAAAAAATGAAATGGCAAATTTCTTCCATTTTGCATCACACATACTAAGTTTAGTTGTTTATGATTTATGTTCAGTTCTGCAAATTCAAAGTTATTTTTCAAGTATTCAGAAAAATGTTATATTTTTATTTGGAAAGGTGTTTTAAAGTAGATTAGTAGTAAATTTTCAGCTCCTCTGTTTTCTTTTTGATGTGAACTTTCTGGCGCAGTCTTGTGTCTAAGGAGATGTTCAGGTACTTTGCTGTTATTGCATAAGGAACTTGAGCGTTATTTTTTTTGTTTACATTTAAATTTATTTACCATTCTTTGGTCCATGAATATATTTTATTTACTGCTATTTGCAGCTTGAAGGTGACCATTGGCGTGAAGGTGCCAATGGTATCTTGTTCTAACTTTTGTGGCACTCCAGCTTTGATATTTCTTGGATCTGTGTATTCTTCTTTCTCCTTTACTCTGAAATATCTATTCGAAATATATGATTCCAAAATATCCGAATTTTAAGAAGTTTCTATAAAGTATACAAACAACTGTACTTTCTGGATAACTCAATCCAGATAAGCTATTACCGGGTATCTATCAACCAACATTTTTGTTAATGGCCTCTATTATACAATAGGGTTGTGGTAATGGCTTGGGTTAAGTCCGGGTGTTAAGATTTTGCTATTAGAGTGTCTTTTAAACGACTATCTTGAATTGTTTTGTGAATTAGGTTGTATTAGATAGTTTCAACAGTACGGTTGAGTTGTTTACTTTGTTGATGGTTGATGTAACGTACAAATCTTTCAATCATTGCAATTAAATTCGTAGATGTTCATTTTGCTTTAATTTCTAATGTGCAACAAATAAAGAAATAATTGTCCAAAAATAGATACCTAAAACATTAATCCAACGATGAGTTCGATTTTTATTCTTTGCGTAACCAATAAAATCGAGTTTTTTGAAGTAAAAAATTAGAGTGGATTAAAAATGTTTACAATCCTAATCGATTTAAAATTAAAATCTCGATTTTTAACACTTGAAATGGTTTAAACACTATTTTGAATCGTTAAAATTGTGTAAATTACTTGTGTATTTATTAATGTCAAGGATAAGCTGTGTAAATAAATCACCTAGGTGGAAAATCACAAAATAATGAATTGATTTGCTGATATCATTTTATTTATTTGTTTTTTTCCATCAAATTTCGTTTAATCGTGTTCTAAAGAAAGCCGGGAGAAGGGGATACCGAATATATTGCTATAAATAGGACTCAAATCAATCAATTTTATTCAGTACAAGCGAAATTTGGCGTTGTTTCGGTAACTAACAAACTTCGGAAAAAAAAACTTTCAGATATAAAGGCGTGTTTATTGTTAATCAATTGTGACCTCGATTTAATAATAGATACAATCCTAAATAATACCTGTCGTTTCTTTCCTACACGTAAATACAAGTTCAAATCAGATTAAAAAAATCATATAATCATTTTGTTGTTTTGAAAAAAATAATCGTTTCATTAAATAGAATGATACCAAAATTAACATATCTTAATGGAAAGTGGTTGGCGGAGTTAATACGTCTCCTCTTTAGCTTTGGTGATGTCGAATTTGAAGATGTTCGTGTGGTATATGGTAGTACCGAATGGGAAGATTTAAAACGTAGTAAGTAAAATTATTTTTAAAAGATATTTATTAAGAGAATATTAAGATGTAATTGATTATTTTTATAGACACTCCGTTTGGTCAATTACCAATATTAGAGGAAAATGGAAAAGTTGTTTGTCAAAGTACAGCTATCGCTAGGTATGTAGCAAAAAAGGTTGGATTAATGGGAGCTAATGATTGGGAAAATTTAGAAATTGATGCTGTTGTTGATACCATAAATGATTTGAGATTTAGTAAAAAATATTTAACAATTTTTTATGTTTTTGGTATATTTTTTATTTTTAGAAATGTCGCGGTATGCTTATGAGAAAGATGAAATTAAAAAGGAATCAATGAAGAAAATATCTATGGAGGAAACACTTCCTTATTATCTAGAAAGATTGGACAAAATTGCCAAAGAAAATAATGGTTACATGGTGGCTAAAAAGGTTTAATTTTATAATTAATTTTATCCCAACACAACAATTATATTTTTTTTTTTTAGTTAACCTGGGCTGATGTTGCTTTAAAAGCTATTCTAGAAAATATTGAAGTTCTCGCTGGAAAAACTCCGTACGAAAAGTACGAAAATTTAATTGCCGTTAAAAATAATGTTGATTCAATTCCAAACATAAAAAAATGGATTGAAACTAGACCTACCAGCGATTTTTAAAACAATCCTTTTTTAACAATAAATTTTTTTCTTAAAATAATCGTTTAATTGCTACCCAACAAAAATAAAATTTCCAATTTACAATTTGTTATTGAAATAAAAATTTCTTTTTAGGAAAATCTAAAAATGTCTTCAACAAAAGTATCTTACTTCAACGGAAAAGGACTCGCCGAAACTATTCGCATCCTCTTAAAATATGGAAAAGTTGATTTCGAAGATATTCGTTTTGAAAAAGAAAATTGGCCCGAAATAAAACCAACGGTACCTTTTGGACAAGTTCCAATTTACGAGGAAGATGGTAAAAAAATTAATCAGAGTGTCGCAATTTCTCGTTATCTTGCCAAAAAGTTTGGATTAACCGGATCTAATGAATGGGAAGATTTGGAACTCGATGCCATTGTTGATACTATCACCGATTTTAGAATGAAAGCGGTCCCAATTTACATGGAAAGTGATCCCGATAAAAAAGAAGTTATTAAACAAGATTTTTTGGTTGAAACTGTTCCGTATTATTTGGAGAAATTTGATAAAATTGCTGGAGAGAATGGTGGATTTATGGCTATTAAAAAGGTAAAAATATTACTGTCTCTGTCCAATAATAAGCATTGAATTTCATGTAAATCTAAATCCCAAAATAAGTGTCCGTCTTAAAATAAAAACAAGTTTTATAGATCTATGAATGAAAATATATTTTCTTCTAGTAACAATTCTTATATAATAATGACTTAAGATTAATAAAACAATATGTGCTTTTATATGGGAGTGTTACTTAAGTGGCAATCTTTGCCTGAGCCGCTTCGACGAGGTTGCTATCACATTTAAGGCAAAGTCATAACTGTTCTAATCAAATCAGTTTGTTTTTGCGTAAACGGGAACAATTTATAATTGTTACTGCCATTTACCTTCATGATTGCTATCATACATTGTTAATGTAATAGGAAGACCTTTTTCATACCTAATATTTTACTTCTGACTGGAGAGCAGATAAAGTTGAGTGTAGCTTATAGTTGGTGTTATTTCTACTTCTATTTTTTGATCCTTAATTAAAAATGTCATTGTATGAACCGAAAAAATAATGAACAGTTGGGTAAAACGAGATACGATCCTGCATTACCCAACTCCTTTTATATTGATATAACTCAAAAATGCACCAAGCTGTGGAGGAACTATTAGAGGGTAAAATGGCTAACCTAAGGGCTTCCAAGCCGTTTGAAGTTCCTCGTACAACTCTTGCAGCTAGAGTTCAAAAATAAGGAAATAAGAGCTTAATCGTAAAGAACCATTGAAGAGAAAAGTGAGCTTTCTGAGATTTACTGAGATTTTTTTATAGAGGCACGATTATTTGGTTTCACATTAAATGATTTCAGAACTTTGGCGTTTGAAGTGCCAGAGCGAAATCACTTGCACAATCAAACATCAAGCTGAGCACTCCTGAGCCAACATCGCTTGCAAGAGCCGTGGGTTTTAATAGACCTGCAGTTCAGAAATATTTTAAGCTGCTCTCTGATGTGCTTTATGAACATAAGATTGATGCCGAACATATTTATAACGTGGACGAAACCGGCATAATGACAGTACCATAGAAGAAGTCAAAATGTCTACCATTGCGTGAAAGAAAAAACAAGTTTGTTGTATATTTTGAGCAGAAGTGTTTATGCCGCCAGCACTCATTTTTCCAAGAGCAAAGCCAGAGTTTTTCAAAACGAAATTTTTACAGTTTGGTTTTGTGAGTTTATAGAGTTTGCCAAATCTTCCAGAAAGAAACCTGTTCTTTTGCTTTTGGGCGGTCATTCAACACATACTAAAAATTTAGACGTAATTGAAAAAGCCACAGCTAACAACTTTATACTGCTATGCTTTTCACCACACACCATTCACAGATTGCAGCCGCTAGAGGTGAGTTTCATGGCGCTACTCAGCACGTCCACTCTTTAGAAGTCCAAAAATGGATCCAAGACACCCTATTACTGTAAACCAAATAGAAAAGCTTTTTCAAATGCATATATGAAAGCTGCATGCGTCCAAAGTGCAGTTAGTGGATTTAGAAAAAGTGGAATACATCCACTTAATGCATTTCCAGATTGGATGTGCGAAGCGGCTGAAACCACGAACAGATCAATGGACAGTGGAAACAGCAATTTGATTAAAAGTAGCAGAATATCGAAGAAAATAGCAATTAAGTTCCTATAGCACTCCTTCTTGTTCATCCACCAGAACATTTATAGTAACGCCACAAGAAATCATTCCCATTCTACACCCGGAAAGGAAAATTAATGCTGATGACAAAAGACGGGGTAAAATTACTGTGCTAACTACCGCGCTATTAAGAAGAACTAGAAAGATCTATCACAGCAAATTACAAAAAAATACCAAAGCGTAGTCTAGCTGTGAAGGCTTCAGCAAACTCAAATAAAAACATTATCAGAAAGATACCAAAATAGGTAGAAGGCAACAGTAGCAGTTCTGAAGGAGAAGAGAGCAGTGATACGTTGTGCATATTGTGCAGCACTTTACTCAAACTCGAAATTAGATGACGACTGGGTAAAATATCAAAATTGCTAGTGCTGGCCACACGAAACCTAAGTATTCCATTTTACCCAACTTTCTCCCGCCTTAATGTCAGGACTGATAGGAGGTTGACACATTACGTTATTGTTTTTATCAAAGTGAGGTTTATATGACTATTAGACCGAGGCCATTTAGCTTCAATTGCAGGCCGAAATTTATCTATTATCATGTTTCTGTATTCATTCTTGGTCACATATTCAATGATATTCGTCCCAGCTGGACGATTGTTATTTTTACATTTAGCTGGTTCTTGTTTCATAAATGGCTAAATGTTTAATTTCCCATCAAACCACTGATTGCGCTGCCAAACACCAGCAAAAACATAACCTTTGTGATTAATCTCTTATTTTTGCATGTTTCATAAGATTCTATCTCATTGTGAGCGAGGTAGTACTTGTTCGATGTTTTCTTTAAATAAAACCTTAAAAATATGTGCAACAGCAGCGATGTTATCAAAATCAAGCATTGCCAAGCAGAATTCCAAACGCTGAAATTTTTTGCGATCTGTAAGGAATGGTTTTATTGCGTTGCAGTAGGGCTTAATCAATCCAGATTTAATACTTCGGTGAATTGTGCTTTTTGACATTCCAATAACATGTACTAGTATCAAATATTTCCGTAACGATAATGGGGTACTTTTTCCACATTTACACTTTTTCGCTTCGTGCTAACTATTCCAGATTTCCGCAAATTTATTTTTGCACATACTGACCGTTCACGTAAGGATTGCTGTCCTCGATGCCAAATTCGACTTATGGTCTTCTCTGGCACAGAATATATTTAGTTTCATATATTTCAGTTACCATTTATACTTGCCTCTAGCAAATGGTACACACTGTACTTGCGGAGATTGCTTGCGTTAAATTAGGTCTTTTTCTTTGTCCTGCAATATCGGCAACTTTTTCACGTTCTATTATGTGGCCACACCATTATTTTTGCAAATAGTAAGACAACACAAGATTTTTAAGTATCTACTCAAACGTCAAGTCGATGGAACACAAAATTGTAACCGAAATCGGACACGTATTTTGGGACAGGTAGTATTTGGTAAATTTTGAGTACATTTTTGTTTTTATTTCAGTTTACATGGGCTGATATCGTCATGTTAACCGTAACTGATTTAGTGAGTGTTTTAGTCGGACAAGATATAACTGAGAAATATCAAAACATCCAAAATGTTAAGAAGTATGTTAAAGAAATTCCTGCCATAAAAGAATGGATCGAAACCAGGCCAGAAACGGACTTTTAAAAATTTCATTCTTGAACTTAAAAAAGTATCTATTATATTTAAAATGTATTAATGTAGTTTATTAATTTACTATCAAATCATTTCTTAATCACACGCAAATTTTTAAATACATTTTTTTTTGCAAACAAATTCAATGGTGTATTCATTTTTCTTTCAACATTTCAATAATCTTAAAATAAGTCAGCCGAAAATACAATTACGAGGTCAAATTATGTTTTCATGTAAAACAAGCTATTAATCATCATCGTCTTTTATAATAACACGGTACTCGGTAGCATTACATTTTTTTAATTTTGTCTATATACGATTAAGTGATTCTTATCTAAAAATCGAGATAAAACTATACATGACGTTCGAAATCGATCAGTAGCATTGAGTCACATTAAGCGAAAAGGTTAAATTGAACAAAAATGAGTCAAAAAGTTACTCCAAAAATTACTTATTTCAATTTTCGAGGTTTAGCTGAATTACCACGATTAATCTGTAAATATGGAAAAATAAATTTCGAAGATATTCGTCTTAATCAGGAAGATTGGGCAACAATTAAACCAAGTAAGAATACATAAACAGAAATAGATTTTATTTAATTTTATTTTTAAAGCAACCCCCTTTGGCGTTTTACCTTTATACGAAGAAGATGGAAAAATTTGCAACCAAAGTATAGCAATTAGCAGGTATTTAGCCAAAAGAGTTGGATTGTACGGTGATGACGACTGGGAAAATCTAGAAATTGATTCTGTTGTAGATACAATAACTGATTTAAGATTAAGTAATATATAAACAAATGTTATAGGTAGTTTTAATAATTTATATTCTTAGAGTTGACCCAAGTTTTTCGTGAGGAAGACGAAACGAAAAAAGCAGCTGATCAAGAAGTTCTGATAAACGAGACTTTTCCTTATTATTTAGAACGATTAGATAAGATTGCGGCACAAAATTTTGGTCATATGGCCGCCAAAAAGGTATTCTAATAAAACAATTAATAATCATTACGTAATAATAATATTTTGATGGAACTCATTTTAGTTAACATGGGCAGATTTCCATTTCGCAATTTGCTATGGAATGTTCGCTTTCATAGCTGGAGAAGATACTCTCATCAAATACAAGAACTTAGTTAAAGTTAAAGACAATGTTGAGAGTATTGCGACAATTAAGAATTGGATGAGAGAAAGACCAGTTACTGACTTTTAAATTAATCCTTTAATTGTTAAATACACAATTCATAAAAAAAATAGAGACGTTTTTATTTATTAAAGTTAAATTAAATTTATTAAATTGATGAAAATCGTTGTTTTACAAGCAAATTTTATTCTTATTCTTATTCAGTTAAAGTCTGTTTAGATGGTCGTCGTCTAAATCGGGTTATGGTAAAAAATAATGAACTTCCTATAAAAATAGACAACATTTTTCGCAATCGCGGAAAAGTGGCCCACATGTCCACTTTGGACTTAGTGGCACGTTATTGGCAAGTTCCTTTAAAGTATGAACATCGTAAATACGGTGGTTTTCGTTTTGAAAACAAATGTTATCAATTTAAAGTGCTTCCGTTTGGGTTGAAAAAAGCCTGCATCGATCGTATTTTGGGCTCATCATTCGTGGGTTTTATGCACGCTTACGTTGACGATTGGTTGATAGCTTCTGGTTCTTTTGAGGAGTATCTACAGCATCTGGACTGAGTGTTGGGTACACTATGGGAGGAGGCATTTATCGTAGTTTATCATTTTTAAATACTTGTCGTTTATTGAACGAAAGAATTGAACGATGGATACTGGCACTTCAAGGCAACATTCGGATTTAGCCGCACGTCTCTCAAGACGGCTAAACCCGAATGTTTCTAGTTCTAGGTCTAGTTTTAGTTCAATAAAAATATGCAACATAGTGATTTCTAATGCTAACTAGCGCTACCTACCATTGTCACTAGAACTAACATTAGACCCAGAACTAGAAACCTTCGGGTTTAGCCGCACGTCTCTCAAAACGGCTAAACCCAAATGATTCTAGGTCTTGTGTTAGTTCTAGTGATAGTGCTAGTATAAAACTAGAACTAACACTAGACCTAGAACTAGAAAGTTTCGGGTTTAGTCGTGCGTTTGAGAACGCACTACAAATGTTTCTAGTTTTAGGTCTAGTGTTAGTTCTAGTTTTAGTTCAATTAGAATATGCAACATAGTGATATCTTATGTTAACTAACGCTGCTTACCACTGTCACTACAACTAACATTAGACCTAGAACTAGAAACATTCAGGTTTGGTCGTCTTAAGCATTTGAATATATTGAATATTTCCATAAATTCACGAAAAACCGAAAAGATTGAAATATTGAAAAGATGAAAAAAGTTTCAATTCTCACAAAATTGTCATTACGGACCTGTATTTTTCAAAAATGTGCAAACGATCCGAAACCTTCACGTATGACTCAAAACCTGTTTATAATACATTTATATCCCTTAATACATCCCATAATACAGGGTCATCCACGACGACCGTTCATTAGAACTTTACAGGGTTCTAGCCAAAACAAAAATTTGAAAATTCAGATTTAAGTATTATTAATTGCGTTCTCTTCGACTAAAATATTTTCAGATTTCTAGTACTTCCGGTTATACCGGAAGTACTAGACACGTATACGCCATTATTTGGTTACACTCTCCATAAATTAATGTCAAATTCAAATAATCCTCATTACTAAATTCCAAATGTGGCATTTCTCGAGAACAGATCACTACAAAAAGTAACCTAGTCATCACACCAACAGAAATAAACCATAGCTTTAGCAAATGTCAAACTGTTTACTCTTTCCTTACTGATCCTCTGATTACACTCCAATTACACTCCAACAGAAATAAACCATAGCTTTAGCAAATGTCAAACTGTTTACTCTTTCCTTACTGATCCTCTGATAATACATAACAACAACAACATTCCACAACACCAAATTTTTTTTCCGGCGGTAAACTAGATGATTTATAAATTATAAAAAGTAACGTTGTAGTTGACATTTTTGATTGAAAAATGTAACAAAACTCAGGGTGTTCCATTTGAAATATGAAAATTGTCACCTCTTCCGGTGTAACCACAAGTACCCGGAACCTGAAAATACTTTAGTTAAAAAGCTGGCATCAAACATCACAAGTCTACAAATTTTCAAACTTCCACTTCATCCGGTTATTCACTAGGTTAAATATCAATATGTGTGTGCATTTTTCAAAAAACCCTAATTATCTCCCAAACTATAAATGTTAGGTATAGGACATATCGGATATAAAAGATGTAAAAAGAGACACCGAAGACGACTAAGTAATAAAATATGGGGGGTGCCATTTAAAAAAATGAAGTTATGGTACTTCCAAGTTTCGAAAAAGTAACGTGCCATAGTAAAGTGACCAAACGTTCTAGACAGCCATACTCGGTACCAAAACATACTCCATCATGTTGCTTAAGCATGTTCTGAATCCTAAATTGATATCCCAAAAATCGAGTGTTCTCTGATTTTTTGAACAAATGTCTGCTGGAGCAGATTTTCCTAGAAAAATTCGAATAACTCGAGAACGGCCGAATGAAATTGCAAAAAGTAAAGTTATTCATAAACCTTGAAAACAGACAAATCCAAATATGTAAAAATATATAGGGTGTTCCATTTAAAAAAATAAAGTAGGTGGCGACTTCCGGTATAACCGGAAGTGCTAGAAATCTGAAAGTATTTTAGTCGAAGAGAACGCAGTTGATAATACTTAAATCTGAATTTTCAAATTTTAATTTTGGCCAGAACCCTGTAAAGTTCTAATGGGCGGTCGTCGTGGATGACCCTGTATAAATATGGCATTATAAATCAGCAATTAATGTGTAAATTTTTTGTCTTTATAACTTTTTTTCCATAAAGACATCATATATTTTTTTTACATTTTTTTTCATCATATTCTAAATACATAATTACATGAATATTTTAGCGTTAAATCCTTTCAAATTCATAATATAAGCAGATATATTATAAAAACGAAAATTGTCATAAATTTTAAGACAGCGCGCCCGCTCGAAGGTAAATTTTTATTCTTAACAATTCTGCTTTCTCGCGAATGCATAGATATCGAGGAAAATATGAAAATTTGATANAGTAAAGTTATTCATAAACCTTGAAAACAGACAAATCCAAATATGTAAAAATATATAGGGTGTTCCATTTAAAAAAATAAAGTAGGTGGCGACTTCCGTTGTAACCGGAAGTGCTAGAAATCTGAAAGTATTTCAGTCGAAGAGAACGCAGTTGATAATACTTAAATCTGAATTTTCAAATTTTAATTTTGGCCAGAACAATGTAAAGTTCTAATGGACGGTCGTCGTGGATGACCCTGTATAAATATGGCATTATAAATCAGCAATTAATGTGTAAATTTTTTGTCTTTTATAACTTTTTTTCCATAAAGACATCATATATCTTTTTTTACATTTTTTTTTCATCATATTCTAAATACATAGTTACATAATCCTTTCAATCCTTTCAAATTCATAATATAAGCAGATATATTATAAAAACGAAAATTGTCATAAATTTTAAGACAGCGCGCCCGCTCGAAGGTAAATTTTTATTCTTAACAATTCTGCTTTCTCGCGAATACATAGATATCGAGGAAAATATGAAAATTTGATGAAAATCGTTGTTTTACAAGCTGTTAATGGTAACACTCAGTAAGCAAAATCGGCAACAAAAGTAGTAGCAAAATTTATTCTTAACAATACTGCTCTCTCGCACTTTTATTCTCCTTGCATAAATATCGGGGAAATGCCGAAAATTATTTTTTATAGCACGAACAATACTTGGGCAATACAGCACGTCGTAAACCAATTGAACAATGGAAAAAGAATGGTAACAAACGAAAGAAAACTATCATGTATAAAACATGATAATACATGGTGATATTATATTTATTATGTTATTTTTAGGAAAAAGTATATTTTTCTCAAGAAGAAATGGAGAGTGCACTAAACGGGTTGGTATACTAAATTCACTATTTAATTTTAAGTAAATCAGCCAAACTTCGGCTTCACACTTTTATTAATCAATGAAATAAAAATGTTTAAAGTTAAGCTTCTAATAACATGTCAACACTCTCTCGTGCTCACGACTAGGCAGTACTCCTCAATTTGTTCTCTGGTACATGATTGTCTACAACATTCATCAACAATACCTTTTTCTAGGGAATAAACCTCTTCCATATTTTTTATGTTTTCTAAAATAGAAATGGTACACCTTGTCAAATCTAGTAGGTTGATATTCTCAAAATAATATTGTACTTACTGTTATCATCAATACTTCTAATCTTTCCAAGAGGTTTAGTCGACTCACATATACAAGCCACTAGGTCAGCCAAAGCTGATCCGCAAACTTTATACCTCTTTTCTGCGATACCAACTGTAAATACAATGGAAAGTATTAAAAATAATTTTAATCCCATTATTATTGTATTTTTAATATTATTGAATTAATATCACTATCGGCAAACTAAATAGAATATGTTGACAAGTAATAACAACATGTCCTTTTATACTGCACACAGAATGAAGACAAAAGATAACCTATGCTGATATCAAAGTTGTAATCTATTAATTGTCGTGTAAAGGTTATTTGTGTTTATGATTTTACAATCGGGGGTGAATACACAAGAGCGTGACTTTTAATCGGATAATTTTATTTTTACACGAACGGTTCGTTGCCATGTTGATTGAGAGTTTTTTTTTCCAAAGGACAACAAAACTTGAGTGAATTAAAAATAAAATTATCCTGTTCTAAAATCAAGCTGTAGTGTATTTTACGGAGATTAATACACGACAATTGCACAATGTATTGAACATTTTTAGCTATTTATTAACTATTTTTGACTTAATTATACTTGTCAAAAATGTGACAAGTAAACAATAATATATTACAGGGGTGGCCAAGCTCTTTAATAGTCCGAGCCATTTTGCAATTTGAAATTTTTCGCGAGCCGCAATTAAATACGTACATATGAAAAAGATACGCAGGTATTACAAAAAATTTTATTACAGAAATTATATTAAATATACTAAAAAAAAGGTACTCGGGTATATTTATCGAGAGCCACAAATAATTCTTCAAATACTTCTTCGTTGGTATATTACTAGTAGTGAGGAAACTATGATTTTCAAAGATCGGTAACTAACTACAAAACATAGAACGTCTGTGATTTCTTTCTTGTTACTTAAAACGTCATCTGGAGTCGGGGGTGGGTAATTTTAAACTTTTACATTAATTATTGCAAAAATTAAATAATCTTCGAACGTGAAAACGTACTAATCCGTCTAATTTAAGATTTATCGATTTTTTGAAAGACGGGCTTTCTAACCGAATGATCTTAACGGCCCTATTGTTCTTACTTTGAATCAGTATTCAAAGATTGTGTCAATAGCCAAATAATCATTTTCAGAGGAAAATTTTATTAAAATGTCTTGTAAAAAACCTAAAATATTCTAATCATTTTGCAATTATTTACAAATACTTAATATACAATATACAGGGTGTTTCAGGTTTTTGTAGCAGGACTTTAACAGTCGATAGATCTTTTAAAATTAATACAAAAACTTCATATAAACATAGGTCGACAAACGCTTTGTTTTGAAGATACAGGATGTTCAAATTAAATTTTTAAATTGATTTTTATTTAATATTACACGTGTATTTCAACCGACTCTATTCAAATTTGGTATACGGAGGTTTTTTGGCATGANCTTGGGCAATACAGCAAGTCGTAAACCAATTGAACAATGGAAAAGGAATGGTAACAAGCAAAAGAAAACTATCATATATAAAACATGATGATGTTTTTTTATACATATTTATTATTTTATTTTTAGGAAAAAGTATATTTTTCTCAAGAAGAAATGGAGAGTGCAGCAAACGGGTTGGTATACTAAATTCACTATTTAATTTTAAGTAAATCAGCCAAACTTCGGCTTCACACTTTTATTAATCAATGAAATAAAAATGTTTAAAGTTAAGCTTCTAATAACATGTCAACACTCTCTCGTGCTCACGACTAGGCAGTACTCCTCAATTTGTTCTCTGGTACATGATTGTCTACAACATTCATCAACAATACCTTTTTCTAGGGAATAAACCTCTTCCATATTTTTTATGTTTTCTAAAATAGAAATGGTACACCTTGTCAAATCTAGTAGGTTGATATTCTCAAAATAATATTGTACTTACTGTTATCATCAATACTTCTAATCTTTCCAAGAGGTTTAGTCGACTCACATATACAAGCCACTAGGTCAGCCAAAGCTGATCCGCAAACTTTATACCTCTTTTCTGCGATACCAACTGTAAATACAATGGAAAGTATTAAAAATAATTTTAATCCCATTATTATTGTATTTTTAATATTATTGAATTAATATCACTATCGGCAAACTAAATAGAATATGTTGACAAGTAATAACAACATGTCCTTTTATACTGCACACAGAATGAAGACAAAAGATAACCTATGCTGATATCAAAGTTATAATCTATTAATTGTCATGTAAAGGTTATTTGTGTTTATGATTTTACAGTCGGGGGTGAATACACAAGAGCGTGACTTTTAATCGGATAATTTTATTTTTACACGAACGTTTTGTTGCCATGTTAATTGAGAGTTTTTTTCCAAAGGACAACAAAACTTGAGTGAATTAAAAATAAAATTATCCTGTTCTAAAATCAAGCTGGAGTGTATTTTAGGGAGATTAATACACGACGTGTTTCAGGTTTTTGTAGTAGGACTTTAACAGTCGATAGATCTTTTAAAATTAATACAAAAACCTAGATATAAACATATTTCGACAAACGCTTTGTTTTGAAGATACAGGATGTTCAAATTAAATTTTTAAATTGATTTTTATTTAATATTACACGTGTATTTCAACCGACTCTATTCAAATTTGGTATACGGAGGTTTTTTGGCATGAGAAAGACGATTATAGAGTCCGTTCTGCTATAGCCAGTAGAGGCACTACTATACTACTACAGTACTATAGCCGGCTCTGTAACGTATTCTTTACGGATTAAAATAACAATAACTTTTCTGACAGTATACTTTTTGACTTTTTGAATAAAAATTCTTATTCTCTGTACTTTTTTAAGCAAAAAGGGTACTCTTATCAAAATGCGCTAAAGTTTATCGTTTTCAAGATAATCCGCTCTTTATTATTCGATATAGACCAATTTTTTAGAGGATAAAATAGTTAAAATAATGTATGCCATAGAAACAAAGTAGGTAAATTAACTAACGTTTTAGTTTACTAATGTTTTTTCAGCAAAATAATAAAAGAAAAAAAATAAAGAAATGTTTGAAAATGTAAAAAATTTGCTTGCATAATTCTAACCGACGAATTACTGATCGAGTAATGGTGTTAAAGAACGGTGTTATGTCATTGCAAGCATTTCTAATCCTATTAATAAGTTCATTCCTTGTGAGAACAGGTGTCTCATACAATTTTCTTTTCAAATATCTCCACACAAAAAAATTTAAACCATTGAGATTTGCAGATCGTGGGAACCATGCGACTGGTCCACCACGATCTTGCAGGAAAATGGGTCTCTAGCCAATTTCTTACCCCTACTATGATAAGCTACACAACCATCAAGTTGAAACTAGGCCTTTCTTCTTAAAGCTAGATCAATGTGATCCCACATATTGGCATGCTTAACTACCAAAAATTACAAGAACGCCGCAGCGGTTAGTTGTGATGGCAAAAAGTATGGCCCGAAAAGATGATTATTATAAACCCTACCCCTACCCAGACGTTGACACTAAATTCATGTTGTAGAAGTTTCGTGGCCGAATTGCGTAGGGATTTTCATGCACCCAAACATGTAAATTATGAAAGTTTACAATCCCACGTTTTGTGAAACACGATTCATCGTTCTACATTACATTATTTAAAAAATCTCGATTGTTGGCTGATGCTTTAGCAATCCACCGACAAAACGTTACACGCCGTTCTTCATAGCCTGCTTGCAATCTTTGGATCATGTGATCTTATGATCATGTTTTAAAAAGCGATCAATACGCGTCCTAGAAATTCGTAAGGGGGTTTCTATCGAACTCACCCAAAATTCTTCTTCTAAAGTTTCTATGCATTGTCATTATTACGATCTACCCGTCATTATTTAGCCATTGTTCAACTATTTGTTTATGCACTTTAGGCGATAGGGCGAAAATAAAGGACAATAACTGTTCTCAGTTTTCGGCATTAGCATTTTCTCGAAAAACGAGATCCATNTCGACAAACGCTTTGTTTTGAAGATACAGGATGTTCAAATTAAATTTTTAAATTGATTTTTATTTAATATTACACGTGTATTTCAACCGACTCTATTCAAATTTGGTATACGGAGGTTTTTTGGCATGAGAAAGACGATTATAGAGTCCGTTCTGCTATAGCCAGTAGAGGCACTACTATACTACTACAGTACTATAGCCGGCTCTGTAACGTATTCTTTACGGATTAAAATAACAATAACTTTTCTGACAGTATACTTTTTGACTTTTTGAATAAAAATTCTTATTCTCTGTACTTTTTTAAGTAAAAAGGGTACTCTTATCAAAATGCGCTAAAGTTTATCGTTTTCAAGATAATCCGCTCTTTATTATTCGATATAGACCAATTTTTTAGAGGATAAAATAGTTAAAATAATGTATGCCATAGAAACAAAGTAGGTAAATTAACTAATGTTTTAGTTTACTAATGTTTTTTCAGCAAAATAATAAAAGAAAAAAATTAAAGAAATGTTTGAAAATGTAAAAAATTTGGTTGCATAATTCTAACCGACGAATTACTGATCGAGTAATGGTGTTAAAGAACGGTGTTATGTCATTGCAAGCATTTCTAATCCTATTAATAAGTTCATTCCTTGTGAGAACAGGTGTCTCATACAATTTTCTTTTCAAATATCTCCACAATAGGAAATTTAAAAGTCTTTTAG